TCGCTCTTGTGAAGACCCGACTGCCGGAACATGGGTACTTCTTTCTGATTCGTGGTCAGCAGCTCCCTTCACAGAAGTTGGGTTGGTCTTCAGCGATAAGGTTGGCAGGGTAAATTTGACGCTCTGCGATGTTGGAGTGTCGCATCGTGCGGGAGAGTCAGTAGGCGACGGTGGTAACGCTGTTAGGTCATTGTGATCAGCCCATACTTTCGCAGAAACAAGCAGAGACAAGCACATCAGATTTCTGTGCTCAGTTTCTTTTGAAAGGAAACAACCCAAACCAGGTTGGGCAGGACGGCAAGGTCAGGGTGAGTGGGAAAAGCGCTGCACGTACTGGTAGCAGCCGCGTATGCCAGAACCGATGGAAGACAGGCATGTTGGATACTGATCATCTTCCCATGGGCAAGAAGGGGGCATCGGCCTCGAGACAGAGCGGTCTCGAGAACTCAAGATGCCTGAGCGGACGAGTAAGGGGGAAAGGCGTCGGCCTATAGCATGACTTCAGGCGTGCAGGAACGGGTGAGCTGGACTCGGGGAGAGACGGGCGAATTTGCAGTAGGAAGAGATGTTCAGCCTGGGAGAAAGGCTAGTTCGGGAGGAAGAAACGAGACCGGTTGGTGCGGGTTTGGGGGGAGAGGCCCGATCTAGTAGGGAGCGAGAAGAGGGCGGGATGGCGAGCGAAGCGGAACTCGGTGGAAAACACGGTCAGAGGCGGTCGCCCGAGAGGCAGATGGCAGCAGACAGAGGGAAGAGAAGCAGAGAAAGGACGGAGAGCGAGATGGGGGGAGAGCCGCGAGAGAAGAGGAGGATCTTGTGGCGTTTCTGGAGGGAAAACGGGGGACGAGAGGGAGAGGGGTGAGTTGTCCAAGCTGGACGGGAAAGGCTTCTGATACGCAGGCCAGCGCGACTAGTCCGTCCACCCTCACCAAATCACCAGCCAGGTAAGACAGCACCGGCTGGCCCTTTATGATTGCGGTTAACGGGTTGATTACTGCTAACTAGTTACTGATTGCCGGGGCTGCAGATTCACTCTTCTTCCTGGACCTAGTCGTCCGACGAGGGCCGTATACAAAGTTGTCATCTCAAGCTTCCATCTCGCTGGTCGTGACAACGCTCCCCTCGACGGCTCCACACTGGTCTCGGAAAGTCAAACTGTGACGTGCTTATACTACGGATCCGCTGAGAGGAGGGCACCGTGAGGCGGAATCGCAGTGCTGTTATCCATCAAGGGATCCCCAGAGACGTGTCACGCCGACTTCTTCACGGATCCCTGGGGAACATCTTCGTCATGAGGGGACAAAGGGAAGGGAACCCAAGCATTTCAAGTGGCTGCAACGGTCTCAGATGGAGTACCTGAGTGAAGCTGCGGAGTCGATGATGGAATGGAGTCTGGATGGGCCACGTTTTGGCAAACTTTTCAGGGCCGAACCAATCCATCATCGGGTTCAGGTCTCTTGAAGCGGACCAGGCGATTCCCCTTTGCCCTCGGTGAAGCCTGGTCGCGCCTCGCAGCGTCATGTTGGCCGTGATCCCGTGGCTGGTGCTGCATTGTTACCTTGGAGTATTTAGTTGTTGATATTATTACATTAGTCACATAGTTGATGAACCGCGAAGACGATTTGTTTTTCACCGCCTGGTCGCCTTGAGTCCTCGTTGTCTGGCGTGGAATCATGCTCGTTCAAGGAATCAAGGGACATTGTAACCCGTCGACAGGCTCCCCCGTACCCGTCCATACGGGAGCCGGGATTGAGTAAAAATAGTCTCCCTCATCTTATCCAGGCCGTGAGATCTCAAGCAGCAGAGATCCTTTTGTGTCGTCGTGCAGATCGGATCGTGGATGTGGTCGCCAATCAGTCCTGCCACGTCGTTTGGGCAAATGCAAATTGGGAACAATTTGACTGAGAAAAGAATTTCCTCACGTTCGAGGGCTCAACAGTTTTGATTCCGATCGAATCCACTGCATCCGCCGGCCGTCTGTCAAATGATCGATGAGCATGCGACAAGTCTCGTGATGAGTTGGCATGCATGCATATCCAGCTGTCGCTGGCGGCCTCTTTGGCGCAGAAAGATTGGCTGCGGATCGCTCTAGTTCCACGCCAGTGAACCCCAAATCAAACCGGCCAAGGCCGGCTAAGACGACGAGCATTCAAACGAGGGTGGAAAGGCTGGTGCTGGCCGGGGGGAGGCGGCCGTCTGGCGACCGCTCGTCGTGAATCCTCACTCGAGATCAACGCGATCTCGCGAGGGCAAACAAAACACCCTCACATTGTTGAACACCAAATGAATCAGTCAACTAATAAGTTAGTTACTGGTTAACTAGTTACCACAGCTGACCGGGACTGATGCTCCCCCAGCCATCAGCTTCTCATTCAGTATTCTTGGACTCTTACCCTGACCTGGCCGGTCTGCTGGGACTTTTGGATTGTTGACACCGAGCAGTCAAAGATGCGATATCAAGGGAAATGCTCTCTCATCTTCGTCTCTCGCTTGCTGCTCCATGAGTTCAAACATGATGAGGCACTCACATCCATGCCACCGGGTGTCAAACTGCTCTTTCTGCGGGAATCAGTCTCTCAACGGCACTTTCCAGACAGTCCATGAAACTGTCCTTTTTATATCCTCGACATGCTTCTGCTTGTTAATCTGCGGCATGGTCTTCTATCCTTTCTCGCTTTCCGCTTTATGTGTATCTCCTTAGCTATCGTCAAAACCATCCTATTTCAACCTGGTTCGTCTTTGGGCGTCGGTCCTCTCTGGTGAACGCAACTATGGTTTCATTGATCTTGGAGTCCGAATCTATCACCAGAGATATACTAACCGCCCTTCGTGAAATTTCAACCGGCCCAGAGTTCACACGCTATCTGACGGTCAATCGTGAATTTCTCAGGCTAGGTGTTGAGCTATCGCTCAGCTGTCTAGTGTTGACAGAACGCACACTTCCGCGATTCTTGACATGCATGGAGCAGCGACCAGTACCTGCGGAATTACCCATTAGATCTCTGACCCTGAACCTGGTAGTCCGAGACCCTTCTCACACAGGAGAACCAACAGGCCTAGGGTCCGTGGCATATCCACTGTATTTCTCCAGTTGCAATATTATAGAGCGCGATGCCCTACTGCAATACTTTTCGTTTCGTGTCGATGCTCAGTCGGTTGCAGGGAGCTGGTATGATGACAATTATACGCCGATAGAGCCGGAATTTTATCACGGCCACCTTGTTGCTCTGCTGGAAGCCCTGCCTCCGACCTGTTCCAGTCTCGAGCTCGACACTGCAGGAGTTGAACGTTATTTTCACGGCGAGCATCTATGTGGACATATTGCTAGAGTTATACCGCGCCTCCGCCACATTCGTTTGCGGGTACGCAACCTCTGCTCGGATTTCATACACCTACCCGGAGAGGATGACCCGGATTTCGGCCAAAACATTTACCCCAACCTCCGTTCCATTCTGATAAATGGCGACATCCCGATTGGACACTCGATGTCCACGGGAGTCTGCAGTACTGTGGATTCCCCGAACTCCTTGCATGAAGAGATTATCCCGGTCCTCCTCTCGAACCACAGACTGCACATGCGTGGTCTGAATCGGCTGGAGCTATATGATTCAATGGTTGTGGAGGGTCCCTCAAGGGCATTTACCATGATGCGTAAGACAGACGTCCTTGATGAGCTGAGCTGGTTCTCACCATCCCTGTACCTTCCCAATTACCATTTCGACCGCGATAGACGACAAACCTGGCGCGTTATTCGGTCTGATACTGGCGAGGAGATCGTCGGGCCTCGCAACTCTGTGCCCGAGCTTTTCGAATATGCGTGGGATACCACGTCGGAGGGGGCAAGATTTCCTGTTGGCTGCGATGGGCCTGGGTTTCCCGTCCAGCGTGCCTTTGGCTGGCGGTTAGCTTGGGGCGGTAGCAACATCAGAGATTTCGCCGCGTACCAGAACCAACAGCGAGCCCTTTATCCTCCTGACTCTAAAGAAATGGCAATAATTTTGAGTCTCGATTTTATAGGGTGGACGCCAACAGGTTTTCATGGCGTGGATGCCCATCTATTTCAATTGCGGCCTATGAACACCCCTAATGGGCACCACGAACCCCTCCCCAATTAGTGAGATTTGTGTGAGCTTGTATCATTTGTATTCCTCCAACGCGAGAATGGTCTTGGCAGTACGGTCGGATGGAGCATTAGCATGGGTGGTGTTGAGAAGAGAGAATGGCCCAAGGAATCAGTATATATTACCAACTACATTTAGGTATGCATCGAGAACCCAATATCAATTCAATGACCCTGAACCAAAGCGGTACCAAATCGTTTAGTAGAATAGCCGCGGGGTATACATTCATATTCCGCCCAAAATCTCAGAATGTCACTGACCAAAACTTGCAAAATGAAATATGGCTTATAGGCATAATAAGGTTGTCTCATATTTGTTAGTGGTTATTTCTAGATATCCACGGTAGAGTCTTGTGAGTGTGCGTTGTAGCCCATTTTTCCGCCATGGAAATGATCGCGTTATCCCGGGTCAAAATTATAAAGGTTGCTCTCTCAGGGGAGACTACTTTGCAGTAAAATACCCTTTCTCTAAAACAGCTGTATCGGGCTGGTTCATGGAAATTATGGACACATCTTTCACCCCCTACATTTATCAGCTTCTTTCTGTCCTGGCCGCACGGCCGTGGCCGTGAGTGTGTCTTTGATAACTTCTTTCGAAACCTTGGGAAAGCTATGTAAACCGGTTAGTTTTTTGGTAGTTTTCAAAAAGTAGCCACTTCGTGGTGATAAATGATAAAAAAATCTGGCCTCGTACCGTTTCTTCAAGACTTCGATTAGCCCTGCCTTGGTCAGGTCGCTACCCGAAACGGCCTGTTTGAAATCAGGGAGAAGTTCTGATGGGAATTGAGCTTTTGGTTTCTGCGAAACTATAGCGCTATTGAGGTGAGGGCTGATTGTTGAAGTGGGTGCTGGTGTAACTCGTGAGGTAGGCCCGGGGGCCAAAAAGCCGTTGGTCGACGGTATGAGTGTCCGTTGCGAAGGGTCGGATACTTTTCCATTAACTGGCGCCGATATTGAAGGGTTGGTTGGAAGAGCTGCTCCTGGTTTCTTCCAATATGCATCTGAAAAGGGATCTATCGGAAAGTTGAAGGTCTCTGCGCCAATTATTGTGAGTATATATGATGCACGAAAAGAGGACTGCCCGACATACCTGACAAGATTTCCATCTGATACGTTCCAAGGAGTCCATGCGGTTTATTCCCATCTGTCCAGCAGATTCCAGTGCAGACAGGTTCCAAATCTCCCACAATCATTTTCCTTTTTCCAATTTCATCGTCTCCATCGTCTAGGAAATCGTCCATGTCTTCCTCATCGTCTTCACTCGCATCTTCCTCACCCTCAGAGTTAAGGTCCTCGCCTTCCTCTGGCTCTTCCCATTCTGCCTCGGAATCATAATCATAATTAACATCCGATATCACTCTAGAAAATGGATTTCGACAGAGTTTAATCGCCGTCCCGCTCGGGAGATGTTTGGTAAACGTTCCCTGATATGGAGGTCGCACATCTTCCCTAAACTGTAGTAGCTTCATTGGAATCTTCCTGAGGATATTTTGAGTATGTATTCTGTTAGTTGCAACCTTTTCCCCAGTGAGATCTATTACATGGCCTTTGCTAGCATCTGCATCATTCAATGCCATGACAAGCTCTCTCACTGGAGGAATCCCCGTTTTACCATAGCGTCGCTTATAAGGCATTATATTAAACAGTTCAGATGGCCTTATGGGTAGGTTCGGACCAGCAGATCCTTCCTTGTCCTTCAAAGATGTGTCTATCTTCTCGCGAACATGTAAAAGTGCCTCCGCATCTCGTTGAAAACGGTGTGAAGCCCCGAGGCACACGTGAGACTGAACGAAGAAAGGGGGAAACTCGTCACTATAGTCGGAGACGGCTTTGGTATCTGGCGATTGACTTGCACTCGCTTGGTTTGATTCTTCAACGGCCTTGGGCTCAACAGCTTTATTGGTGCTGTTTGGAATGGACGGCTTTGTAAAGAACGCATTCAACCTCATTTGGGACTGTGAAATCAGTCAGCACCAACAATTCAAAGAGCACGCAGAATTTCAACCCAAATTTGGGTTCGCATGGACATACTCTCTCTTTCTTTTTCTTTTCTTCTTCACGGGCTATCCTCTCGTCCTCCTTTTGCTTCCTCTTCTCCTCGCGCTTTTTCCTCTCTGCCTCCTTCTCCTCATCTTTTTTCTTCTTTTCCTCTTCCCGTTTTCTCTTTTCTTCTTCCTTTTCCTCCTCCTTCTTTTTCCTCACCTCTTCGCGTCTTCGCTTCTCTGCTTCTCTCTCCTCTTCCCTCCTTTTCTTCTCCTCCTCTCGTTTTTGCTTCTCTTCCTCCCAAAAGTTTGCGAGCCTCGTCTTTCCTTGCTTTTTCCTGGGCCTTTGCTTCTTTACTAGTGGGCGACAGCCTTCGCCTTTTGGCAGGGGCACCAGCTGGATGGGAAGCTGTTGAGAGGTTCGGCATGTTATTTGCGTCTGAAACAGCAATTGGGAAGGGCGGTGTACCGGGAAGGGGGCCAGGTTCGGAATTCGTTGGAGGGGACGCGAAGGCGGGCATAGGCCCAGGAGAAATAGTCGGCGGTTGAGTTGAGGATTGGCTTTCCGCGGTGTTGTCCATTCGGTATTGGTCTCCCGTAGGTTTGCTTGTGGACTGACTTGGTTGCGATTCGACTGGCAGAGGGTTGAGGATCGGTTCGTTCACGTCGTCATAAGGCCTCTTCTTCGGGGTCGCTGGCCGAATTGGGTGCGCCTGCACGGGGATTCCATGCTGCACTTCGGCACCCATGGTGTTTCTCTACTTAAATTTCCCAGAACAAAAGAACATAAGGTTGAACAGCTTCTGTCTCATATCAGGAAAGCCCGCAGTCCGTCAGGAATGGACGGGTGCGCAGTTCCCAAGAAATCGCGGCGCGCAAAGAAATTTCAAAACACAACAGTTGATAATTCCCAAAACCAAAGAATGACCGGGCAAACAAAGAGAAGGACGGCAATTGGAAGCACGAAAGCCGTTGATACTATTACTATCGAGTGTGATGGAGCAAAGGCCGTGAAGAGTGAGGTTTAGTGTTTTGACGCGTGAACACGACTCTTGGCGCGTTTCCCACTCAACAGAGCGATCAAGGCTTAGCATTCGACATGGAGACGGCCGATTAATGAGCGGAGGATCTCATATTAATGTTATTATTGGTTATTAAAGCAGTATAGACTAACTACAACTATGTCCCAGTTACAACACCACCCGACATGATCAATCATTCCCATTGGAAGAAGGTGGCAGCAACGAATACCTCGGAAAGGAACGAGATCTGGCTGAGACGGAAGAGTGCAACTGTCAAATAGCATAAAGAAGCTCTATACGAAAGGCACGCTGGTAGCTGAGGAACTGAAAATGGATAGAACTCCCAAACACCACTCGCAATGAATCCGATTTGGTTCCACCCAAATGAAAACGACAAGAAACACGGGAAATTGTGCGACATGTAGAAACCCCCCGCCAGCAACATCCGGCTCTTTTAATCACTTAGATCCGGATTGGCAACGAATAGTCTGACGTTGCCCAAGGTAGTTGTTCGGTCGTCAACGCTCCCCCTTCGTTTCAACTCTTCAGCGGCTTTGTATCGTCGGGCAGCTGCAGCAGCTCCGCTTGGGGCCTTCATTTCTGTAATCATTCCAAAATCCTCTTCCCTCTCGCTTGTATTCGACAGGGCGGTTCCAGGACGAGCGTTGTTATCCGATGCTGATCCTCCCTGAAACCCGGCCCCAGCATGATCCTTGCCCAAGACAGGGCTTTTCAATTCACCAGCAGTTTCCGCAGCAGGTGTTTCAACAATGTCCGGAATATCGAATCGAGATTCTGCAGGTTCGGCGTTGGGAGGCGTGCCGGCACTACCAATACTCAATCGAGGTTGGTTGGGCCGTTGAAGCCTATTGCTGCCAGCAGAGCTTCGTCCGCTTCCAGTACGACGATGGTACGTCGATCCATCCTGATTATCAAGGTCATCATCCGCGTTTCCGATTTCGTTGGCGCTGAGTCTCAATGGCACGCCCGCTCCAACCATGGTCCCGGTGGTGAACGGTGACGCTTTGGTCGCTGAGCTGTGTCGAATCTTTCCGCTGCTGATCAATGTACTTGTCCGGCCGGAGCCACCGCCTCCTTGCACCTCCAGGATCGCTCTTTGCTTCGCAACGCGTCGCTGGTGAGCCTCGCGCGGATCCTCGGTTTGCGATCGATCGCACCAGACAGTCGCCTTCTGTCTCCGCATTAGCGCGACATAGCCGACCTGGGAGCTGGCGGTTCGGCCGGAGGAGCTTCGTCGGACATTGTTCTGTGAAGCACTCATATGGCGACTGGGATGCGGATTGCCTCCCGTGGACGTGGTCGAGACTGTCGCATTTGAGGGGCGGCGGGAAGGAAAGGGGACGCTGTACTGTTGCTGGGGGTGTTGTTGTGGGTGTTGCTGCGGGGGATAAACAGGGGTCATCTGGCGGAGCGGGTGCATGGACGACGGGAGGAAGGAAGAAGACGCGGTGCGAGGACGATGTTGGCTGTTCGCAGGCGAGTTGTGCACACGGAGCGGGAGCGATTGTTGAGGGGTCGACGCATCGGCGCTGTAGAATTGGAGACCGGCATTGCCAGCGGGCAGCGGCTTGCGATGAGGGGCCTGTAAGGCTGGCGATCGGTAGTCGACCATGGTGGGAGTCGGCTAGGAATTACCACAGTAACCCAACGAGCAGCTGGGGGTGCATCCAAAGGTCACAGATACAAAACACGCGCCAGCGAATTGTCTCCCTGTTGGCTGGCAGGTGAAGCTAGCAATTAGTTGAATGGTTAACTATCCTGGGCTTGCGCGCTGCCAACAACAACGCTCGTCTTGGTTCCTCTTCAGCAGAACCGAGAAGCGAGCCAACTCTCAGTTTCCATCGGCAAATCCGACTCGAAAAAATTGTGTGTTGATGGACAAAATGTAACAACAAAAGCCCTGTTTGCCACTGGTTGATCCACTCGGGATTTCGCGCGAGAATGAGGTCAGCGGTCGCCAACAACCGCCAATATGGATTGGATGCTAACCGGGATGATCGGTCAAGGCAACGGAGAGATGTGCCAGAGAAAGTTGAGGGCATTCGAAAAGGAGAGCGCAGGCAGCAGAAGCAATATGCGGCTAAGCGCCGTGGTTGACCTCGAAAGCTAGTTAGTTCACTATCAACCAGACTTCACCATGTTGGTCACACCCACTGTAGCTTAAAGAGATCTCGATGTCATTAAGTACAGGAGTCCAACCCTATTTTTAGTGAAATCAAGCATCTGCCCCTACTCTAAAGCAAGGAGACACTGCTCCAAACGAATCTCGTCCCCAAGCCCCGACGCGCGAGCTGCAATGCAGCCACCACGGACAGCTGGTCTCTCGTGTCTGCCTTGCTCGCGGCTTCATTGGCCTCTGAAGCGAAAAAAGCTCACGGACAGGCCGTTTTAAGGTTGATTGTGGCCGTTTTGAGTTGAGCCTCAGCTGCGATTCGAAGAGCTACAAGTCGGGCCCAAATCCTGGGCCTGGTTCTGGCTTTGTTTTTACAGAAGATTGGCTCGCACTGTGTTTGCTGGCTGTCATGCCGTCAAGGTGCAAGATGAAGATGACTGGGATCTGGACCGTCATAGGCAGAAACTGCATCAGGTTTGGGTATGAAGTCTCATGCCCGTCTCATCGCAATTGTTTTAGCAACACTGGGAGTATGAAATCCAACATGTTCCCGACTCTCACCACTGCATGTTTCAGCATCCTCCTATATCCTTTGTGAATACATAACCAGACCAGGATAACCATGCTACTCTCTGCGGGACCGCAGAATCAACCTTAAATCACATACCACAAAAGCAAGGCAGCCGATACCAAATTCAAAATACCAACCTTGATAGAGGCAGCCTTGCCTTCCCCAGGTGGTGAGTTCGGTGGCGCATCAGGTGGTGCATCGGGGCCTGATCCTTGTGCTTTTTCGACGACATATATTTCTCCTGTGGAGTCGGAGACGAAAAAAAGCCGCCCTACTCGATCAAAGGCCATACCGACAGGCCTAAAACAGTCACCAGGGCATCTGCTGATGTCCTCATTTGTGACTACACTGATTGCAGCCTGCCTATCGGTTCGGGAAGCCATTGGCTCTCCGTCCTCAAACGGAACTCTTGCAATCCTGTAGCCAATGGGGTCATCGCGGTTCCTAGAAACGGGTGGTTAGAGTGTTTGTGGTGAACTTTGGGAGCAACGCAGCTCACCAGCTTCCATGGAAGGAAATGAACGCTTCCGATGATCCATTGAACTTGATATCCAAGGGAGCGGTGTGGCCCTCAAAGGTCAATCTTGGTGCTTGAATCCCAGCGCAATAATCGTCTGTTCTGCCACCGTCTTCGATATCAAGCGCAAACTCGGTGCCGACTTCGAAGTTGGTGTTATTCGGAATAGACTCGACATCCCAAGCAGCACTGCAATAAGGATAGCCATAATTCAGGCCTGTGGTGGAATTGACTGTTCCGTGGAAGTTCAGTTCTTCCCCAGGGTTATCATCATGTATATCAACCCCTTGACGCATGATGTTATCGATGGTGTTCTCGACCGTCCAGATACCATGTGTTCCAGGATGTTCCGCAATGCCCACAGAATTCCTCATTCCCCAGCCGAGCCGAATTCCATCAGCCGTGAAATTGTAGCCTCCCCTGGGTATTTGCTGCATGTCAAAGGCTTTCATTTGGCAGTGCCCAGTGGAAATATCTCCACACTCAAGGTCAATGTTTCCTGCACTACCCCTAACCACCACTAGATAATCACCCAAACCCGACGAATAATGCAAGGTTCGCGTCGAGTGACCAGAGTTATCCAGCCCCCTTATGATCACCTCCGGCTCACTCGAAGCAACTCTCCTTGCAACCGCATCGTAGTCCCAAGCATACACCGTTCCGCGGTCAGATGCATAAAGCTTCCCTTCGTCTGGGGACAAAGCTATCCCATGATTCAAGCGCGTCTTCACAGAATCATCTATCAAGTCGACTCCGTCTTCAACCTCCAAGCAAGTGCCGCCGTGATCTCTGAGGCGAAAGTTCCAAATCCCGGCAGACGACTGCACGACAAGTAGGTTGCCCTCGCGATCAAACTGGAGCGATCGGGGCCGTCGGAGGCCCTGCGCGATTACCCTCACATTGTAACCGTCTGCTGCAACTGGGGTGGAAGATGGAGTTAACGTCACCGTGCAGGCTGTTTGAGCGAACCCGATGTCGACCAGCTGTGCGGCGACAGCTGCAAAAGCGTAGAAACGCCTCATGGCTCTCAAGGGGGGATCAATAGTACTTATGTATTAAGACGTTCTAACGATGAAGCCTTTCTCTTGGGGAGAGCCTCCAGGGGAGGCCCTCTACGGCGGATTAAGTAGGAGAATCTTCGCCTTGGACGCCAATGCCAAACAGCCCAGCATATCTCGGCGTCGCGTCTTGGTGCACGACCACCCGCCAGTAATGAGTCGACTTCAAGAAAGAACCCAGTCAAGCATACGTCAACGCTGGTGACAAGGGTGTGAATTTGAGGAGATGTGACTTGGGAAATCGAAGATATTATTAAACAACAAAATACACCACTTTGCTGCACGGAGTTCAGGTGAGGGGAGAGCCTCTGCCACTTGTACCCACTGGGCAGTACCTATTGGGGGCGCTGACGCCACTGGCCGCTAGTAGTTGACCACCAGTGAGTCCGGCTGTTGTTTGTAGATTCTTTTTTATTTTAGAGAATCTCCGTATTCCTCAATAAATAGTGTGCCGACACTGGAGTAACCAAGTTTGTTCAAAATGCATTTTGTCGGTTTTATCTGCAGTTTCTGCGGCGTGGCCGCTATGTACGCGTCTGCTTAAAGCAGCATCACATCGATCATTTTTGGGGATATTGGATTTGTACGCCTTGATACCACAACACTGACTTACGACTTCTGTGCCGGAGTTGACAATGAGTTCTACCTCAGATCAGACTGCTGGCCTAACCGGCGTAGTGGCCGATAATGCTATCTCTCCTGAGCGCCCTATCCCGACGATGAAATCGCCTATAGACGGATCAGTTCTTGGCTATGCTGAGGATAAACCCGTGCATGGTAATGGCGTCAAAGAAATGGCGCCGATTGTCGAGCTGCTTGAGAATGCAGGAGTGTCTTGCTGCATGGTTGCCGAACCAGCGTTGATCTACTATGGGGCTGGACGGGTTATGACGGTTTTCCTTCCCGGTGCCAGCCATATAGTGCATATTCTATCAAATGCTGATGCCACCCCCTTTCGCATTTAGCAATGGATCGTCTGTGTTCCGGTTGATAAACTGGTGCAAGCCACCGAGATTATGCTCCAGCACAATGGTGTACTCGAGCCTTACCGAGCATCCGCCCTAAGGAGGGTCCGCGGGCTGGAGCGTCTCTTTCCCGCGATTCAAATTCGTCGGCCTGAGACTCTTTTTTGTTCTCATCTCTTCACAAGCAGTTCACATCCCTTGCACCCCTGATACCATTGAATACAGTGACAACCGAATTCCCTACCCAAAGTTATCAGTATACGCCCAAAGTTTATTGGAGACTTTGAACCTAGTAGACCTTGATGATCTTGTTGATGGAATGGATCTGACAACTGAATGGGGCGAAACGAATTTGAAGTTGGATGGCACGGCCGATGCAGCATGGGGTCGCTGGCGCGCTGATTTCCTGAACAATGGCGAAAAGGCAGAGGATGGTGATATTCCGCAGTGGTGTTTCAATCCTCCGAATCTACTTGAAATCTGGCAGGAAACAACCTCGCCAGAAGCAAAGCAGCACCGACAGGGTTGGAAGTATCACCCTCGCATGGCAACTCGGTTTCGAAGGCATAACCAGAAGGATCCACGGTTACGCACGCGGCTTTATTGTTGAGTGTTCTACCAAATTGTGTCACGGCACTTCGCTCCTTCAATCGAACCTGCAAAAGGATTTGGGTTAGAGTACAATCAAACTGAGGTCTCTTTCATTGCGGTGAGCAGTGAATCCAATCCAAAAGCCCAGTATTACATACTATCATGTCCACTAGTGTATGCTTCAGTTTCACAGATACCATTCAGTTTCAATCCAGAACATCTCATACAATGCCTCTTTAACAATTAACAAAATGTCCGGCAGGGTTCAGCTCATGGACAGGTTATCCTCGTCAGCTGTGATTTCACTTCCAAGACCCGCCAGTAACCATGGATAGTAGACCAGCTCCTCGGTCGTCGGACGCTGCTCAGGGAGCCAGCGGAGGATCCTCCGCAGAAAGCGTAGGAAGCCTGGCACATCTTCACCCTCAATATCTGCAGCTAGTCTCTCAAGAGATATCTCTGGGAGAGGAACCACATTTTTCCAGTTTCCTGCTCCGAATATGATTCGTCAGTACGTATAGAGTGAAAAACGAGATCGTTGTTGTAGAACTCGACGAACCATTTTCATCCCAAAAGGCCTGACATAGTCTGCTCTGGCTCCAGAACTCGACAGGCGGCGGTCCCAGGATACCGGCAAACTGCGCAATGAGATACCTATCATCAGGTTCTCCCGTCTCTGGGTGTCGACGGTCGAACATGGGCTGCGGAGCAACGAGATCCCAGGCCTTCAGACAGAATATTTAGCTAGCGAGAAGAGATCACCGAGGCGATGTCACTTACTACCATCGCAACGCTCCAAATATCAACCTTTACATTCCACTTCATGTGCATAACGACCTCGGGGGCCCTGTAGATATCAGGCATGATATCGTCGGTATGTCCCTCTTCGTCTATTACCCTGGCTTCTCCAAAATCACAGATCAAGGGCAGTCCTCCTTCCGGGAGAGGCAGCCCACGTATGCTGTAAATGGAGCGGTCTTTGAGAAATTTTCGCGGAGACGGGTTCTTGTATTCGTCTTCCTCCATCTCTTTGAACGTCGAAACATCATCAACGGGAAGGAGCAGATTCTTAGGTTGGAGATCTGAGAGGATCCGGATTAGCATTTGAGCAGCAAATGCGATGGGCTCCCACGGCTCACCATTGTGTATAATTCCGGCCTCGGTATGAAGAAAGTCCAATGTGATGAGGAACTGGCGGAGACATCGCTTCATTGAGTCCATTGGAATAGATCGTTGAGGAAAGAATCGTAAAAGTTGATCCATGCTCATTCCAAGTGCCTGGTGAACAACACAAAGGTGCTTGCCGTGGGGCCCTTGTATATCGAAGGACGTAGCAGTTTACGAACAAACCGGCAGCCTGGATGTCTTTCCACATTGGACGCAGCATTGATCCGATCATAGATGACTGTCTCGTCGCGTTTGATATATCTGTTAACATATATTTTCAGTGCAACATACGTGAAGCTATCGTCTTTGTTCCTAAGATGTGCATGTTAGATGTTTGTTTTCTGTCTGACTCTCTGTCTCTCGGTAGGCAACTGGAAGTTATTTCTTACCGGAGGTCGCGAGCAAGCCATACCTAGAAGTCGTTCCATAGCCAAGCTTGCAGACAACTTGATATTTGTCATTGAGCACTTCTCCGATACGGACGGGATAGTACATTTCCGCAATGTAGTCCGGCAGCAATTCCTCTTCGATAGGCACTGCAGGATCAAGTTCTGTGCATCCAGACGCCGGGAAGTTGCGAGGGCTCAAAGGGGCTGCGCCCAGGGTAGCCATCGCGTGTCGATGAACAACCATAGTGCTGCGGCTTCGTCGTGGTGTTGGCGGTTGATACCGCTGTCGAAGGAGAACTGGGAGGCCCAAAGAAGGCGCGCGGGGGGCGCGAGGGACCAGCGTTCCAAGCAAGCATCTAGCACGCACCGACCTCATGATGGTTGTTGATGTGTGATTGTTGTCTCATGTATTCCGTATGGAGGAGGCCCATGGGACTTCGCGTCGATGATCCTCAGCCAGGCCCTTGCACAAGCGCACTAGTAATTTTGGATCTTAAATATAAGGATAATTCATTCTTTCGTATTCTGTTTTCAGAAACTGGAGTAAGAGGAGTTCAATAAGACATTTTGACTGATCTGTTGAAAATGGAAGACAGTTATAGTTATACTAAGAGGACCCGAAAGCAGCCTTTAGAGCTTAGCCCCTGTGGTTTTCACAAGCGCTCCATTCTCGACGTCAAAATCTTTCCCACGTCTCCAGCCGAGCCATCGACTCAGAGTCTCCTCGCCTCCAGTGCTTGGACGTAGGGCCTTTGGTGACCACCCGCCATCCTGGGCCGAAAACGGTCGGCCTGGGGTACCAGCCAGATCAACAACCAGTCGCTGGTCATAGCCTTGATCCTCGAGCTCATCCATGGTTAGGACCGGGGTAGCACACGCATCTGTCCCATCGAAAACCGCTTCCCATTCTTTCCGGGTCCTCTCTTTGAATCTTTTCTCGAGGACGCCGCGCATATGGGGCCAGTTAGCCGGGTCTTCGCGACGTCCGTTAGAGTTGGGAGGAAATATGTCCGTAGCTGACAGCTCCAGGCCGCGCAGTAGGGCTTCGAAAAACTGTGGCTCCAGCGGGCCAATGGCAAAGTAATTTCCTGCGTCTTTCGTCTCGTACGTTCCGTAATAAGGACAGCCGCCATCGAGCACATTCGTTCCTCGCGGGCGGTTCCACATTGGGGTCTTTCGTGAGAGTCGCGGCATGGTCGCAAGATACGCAGAACCGTCAACCATATTTGCGTTGACAACTTGACCCTTCCCCGTGGTTTGGCGGGATAAAAGGGCCAGCAAAATGCCCAAGAAGCAAATGGCCCCTCCTCCAGCAAAGTCACCTAGTATATTCCCTGGCGGATAAGGTGCCTCTCCCGCTCGTCCAAGCATCCCCAGCACACCCGAAACAGCAATGTAGTTGATATCATGACCCGCCATATCCTTATATTTCCCATCGCGGCGAAAGCCCGTCATACGAGCGATTATCAAGCGAGGGTTTTCTTTGAGCAATACTGTCGTTGGGCACAGACCCAGCTTCTCCAACACACCAGGACGGAATGGATCTATTAGCACATCGGCATTGCGGACCAGCGAGAGTAGGACCGCCTTCGATGCGGACGCCTTGAGGTCCAAGCTGATAGAAGTCTTGTGTCGGGTCAGGGTATCAGTAGTGGGAGGTGGAAGAGGCTTAGAAGTCGAATGCGCGTTGGGATGAGGCCTATCAACTCGCAAGACAGACGCTCCATAATCGGATAGCAACAGACCCGCAAACGGACCTGGTTTGCAGTATCAGAGGAACTCGTCAGTTCTAGAATTGCCATAACTACCGCCCACTAGAGCTTTCTTGCTAGGATATACACACCTGGTGCTAAACCGGCGAGTTCGACCACGCGAACACCCTGAAGTGGTAAACGAGCATCGCTCATCCTGGTGGTGATGGCTCAAGGCGTGATAGATTAGCACAAGGGAGAGAGTTTCCGGACTGGGGTCAACATGGCCCAGAGCACCATTGCTATTTAAAAGCGCCAGAATCTGCCCCTCTGATGGCCAACGTGCCCATCGATGTTAAAACGAAACAGCCCGTGAACCGCGTCCCAACGAACGCCGGGCCGAGAGCAATGCTGGTTGTTTGGATTCCGGCGAGCCGAGGCATGGTTGCCCCCGCGCCATAGGAACCAAGCTAACTAGTGATCCCAGCTTGTTGCTCTTGGCCTGCACGATGAACATCACCAGGATGATGAAAAATGTTTATGGCTATAAATCAGATCTGGAATGCAGTGAACTAGCAGTATCCCAGTCCTTACACCAAGAGGTTCACTGTGACTACCCAGTACCCTTCATCCTGGCAACATGTTTATATCTATATCCCTGGGTATGGCGTGCCGCTGTCGTGGTGCCACGCGTGTCCTCGCGTTGGTTCGCTTTCCCAACCTCCATTTCTCCCCACGTCCACATCAATGCTTTTCCCATCCGTTCTCTATCGTGTAATAATTTCTCTATCCGTGACCCCCAAACTTCCTCTCTCTTTTTAAGGACAGCGGCAAATTTCGAATCTAGAGCGGCGGCAGCCGCGTCTTTCGCTTCAATAACCGATTCGAGCCTTTCTCGTTCAGTTTCTAGCGCCGATATCTCTTTTGTGTTGGAAGACAGCAACTTCCGGACTTCAACGAGTTCGGATTGCAGCTCCCGCTCGCGGTCCTGCGCGGCCCCTAGGAGGGCATGCAGTGTACGCGTGGATTGCGCGTGGCTATCTCGGAGTTTGGAGATTTTGAGCGCATGAGAGTCCTCCATTTGGTCAATCTCTTCCCGGTGTGATTTTGGAGAATCTTTCATCTCGAATCGGTTCTCGACCTCAGCTAGAGATGGCGGGGGCGATGTCTCGGGGTTCAGGGGCGTCTGGATCACGTTTTCAGATATGTGCTTGACTGTTTCGACTGCTTCTGCGTGTTGTAGACTCGCCTTTTCCAAGGCTCGACATAATTTAAGCATTTGGGCATTACCGGCGTCTAATGCAGATGAATACTTTTCCTGGATCGTGTCAAGCGCGTTATCTGTTTTTAAAAGATCTTCTCGAGCTTCTTCTAGCTGCAATGACAAGAACTGATTCAGCATCTTTGCCTCTTGGAGTTGGGCTTGAGTGTTTGTTGCTCCATTTTCTTTGTTCTCTGTTTCACTTGTCGTAATTTGGGCTCTGGAAGCATCTTCATCCCGCCGGCTCTGATAAGTGCGCATAACAATATCCAGCACCTGTTTAAACGATTTTCCGTCGATAGCGAGTGATAGGTTATTAGCCACGTTTTTAAGTGCATCAAAATTGGAAGCGGTTTCCGACTTCTCCATAGAAAGGCTTTGTTGGAGCTTTGTAAGTTCTGATTCGAGGTGCTTGACACGTTTATCGAGATGCTGGTTTCTAGTCTGGAGCATGTCGCGCTCAGTCGTCAGGGATTCAATATCAGAGTCCAGCTTATCCAACTCGCACACATTCTCATGATGCTCTGATCGCAACTGGTCATTCTCCGCAGCCATATCTGAAAGTTCTCGTTGACTGGAGGCTATTGTTTCATCCAATTTTGCCTTGGTTTGCTGTAACAACTTTTCCTTGGCTTGTAATTGCTCCCGGAGGAGAGAGCAAGCTTCTTCATCTCCGTTCTGATTCTTAAATTTCAATTCTTCATCTTTCACACGAATCTGAGTTTCTAGTTCTCGGATTTGTTTGTCTGTCGAAGCCGACTCGGCCAACCGCTTTTTATTTTCCTTCTCAAGTTCTGCCTGCAGGTGACGGACTTGCTGCACGATCGACGCAGCATCCAAAACTCTTCGCTGGTTGGCGCTTATAATCTCATCTTTCTTTCTCAGCTCTTTCCGAAGCCGTTCTAGCTCAAGTGCAAATTCATTATTCTGTTGCTTTTGCTGGGTTTCATGATGCGTAAAATCGTTCCTGCGCGAAAGAACATGTGCGGGTGTAGACATCTCTAGCGGGGGCTCAATTTCACTAGTCTCATCATGAGCCTGCCGGGTTGGCGGTCCATCAATGTCGACATCCGCCTTGCTATTCTCAAGAGGATTATCTTTGTCGTCCTCCATATTTCCTCCTTTCAACATTTGCACCATATTCAGCGTGAAGTCGTCCGGACCACCGTGTTCTGATAGGCTGTCGTTATCCTTGGATGCAGCTTTGTTTGCTATGCCATCATCTTTCTTTTCGGTGCTCGCCCTGGCGTCTGGGAGATTGTTCAAGTCAAAGGTATAGTCTGAAAGGTTCGCTTCCGAGTCGTCACCATCGCTAGATCGGGGGGATTTCGAAGAGCGCCTTGTCCCTGTTTTCATTCGCCGGGTTGCACTGCCGTGTTGAATTCCCGGTCGATTATAGGGACTCAACTTTGGGGGAGAGGATTGCATGAATCTTGGGGTGTGGAGGAACGACATTCCCAGAGTATCGTGGGATGTCGCAAAGGGCGAACTATCTCCATTTGCCATATTGTCCAAATTCGAGGTAGTTCACTGCTTGGGAAGAAGGACTGTTCACAGTTGGGATTGATTTCTGGCCCTCGAGACTCTGATCTCATCGCGTGTTCGTGTTGTGATGATGGTTGTTGTTTACACTTTTCCCAATTGAAACTAGCGCTAAAAACTACTTTGACGCAGACAGATTATGTAATATCCTGGTTGATCAGATAACTAAAGACCCGACGCCCCCTGAAACTGTCTTTCTTTCTACCGAGGACGCTTGATAACCCTCTCCCCATTCCTCACCTGGCTATCCAGCATCTGATCAATCACAAACTCCAAATCATAAACCACCTGCTTGCCCTCCTCATCCCTCCAACACCCTCTCCCAAAACACCGGAAGACTGTATCCCGCGAAAACTGAATCATCTTCACATATTCCCAGTACTCCGGATACCATCCTGAATACTCCCAATCAATGATCGCTGTAATCCGCCCCTTGTCAACCAGTATATTATGCATGCCGAGGTCTCCATGCGTAAATCGAAGTTGGTGGTTACTCATCAAACTATTCCGGATTGTTTCAACGTAAAATGAACCGAAGAACCGCGTCGAGTCCGGATGTATTAGAGAGACCAGTCATTCATTGAAGTCAGACTCAGTCTTGAAAGGGCCGCCAAATTCAGCATGGCCGTCTCGAACATCGGCAGCAGGACTTGTACCGTCGACAGGACCAATCACAGCTGTTGATGGAGCACGGAGTGTCCGTAGTTGATGCAGTATCTCCTCTAGATCCTTTAGGATACTATCCCGCTGCACTTGATCCATGGTCGGCCAGCTTTTAATGAGCATATCCCCAGGAATCAACGACATTGCCAAATGTCCTACACGGTCTTTGCCTTCTCCTTCTTCCCACCAGCCAAGCACTTCTGGCACAGGAACCTGCGGACAGGCCCTACGGACAAAGCTCATCGCTCGAGCCTCTCGTTCAGCTTGGACATGATGGCCATATTTGACCACTGTACCGGACTCTGTGATATAGACTCCATGCGAGGCTCCACGTTTGCCAACAATCCACCTAGCAGAATCAATTTCCTCCTGCTTGATTGGAGACCTGCCCATAACGACCTGACTTAAACTGAAGATCATTTAGGATTAACTTGGCTTTTAGGACTAGGAATGACCCGTACCTGAAGTAGGTCCCAAGCCTGTCAGCACTCGATTGATGACTCTGAATTTGGTAAGATGCAAAATCGAAACAGTTCACAACTGGTGGACGCTCGTCCTCTAGCGCGCAAGGGATCCACGTGACTCCACCTATAGTTTTCGTCGATATGCTCCGATGCTCCAGAGAGAGCGAGGTTTGCTGACAGACAACTCACCATGCACTGCCAAAGTGAGTGGCAATGGGTCGCCAACTTTGAAGTGCAAAGGCAGAGTTGTACTGCGGACCGGCAGTGCCTGTGAGGTATCCACACTGTAGTTGTGTCCCGGTGCCATTCATGCCTGCGACAAGGAGCTCGTTGGGGGGGACCTTGATATCACTCGACCCAGAAGTTGCTGGTGCTGAAACATGAGATGAAAGACAGATCTGCTGTTCTGTGACCGGTGTAGTTAGGGGTCAATAGTGGTTGCGGCTGCAGCTGGAATCCCCATGGACTGGTTGCAGGCGTACGATGCATGCTCTCCATGGTGTACTCTAAGTGTGCGAGGCCGGGCGGTATAGTGGATGGCATGGCGAGGGAGGAGGGGAGCTGGTCCTGGGTTCAATATCAACCGCACTCGATGAGAAATTTTGCTTTTTGACCTATCGACAACAGATACCGTGGTATCGGCGCCTATCAAATGTTAGTATTGGCTGAGGATATGGAAGAAGCACTCGCCTATTTCCCCTCTTTCATAATGTTCCTCCATCCTCCAAACCGTGGATATTTCTTCAGGAATATCCCACCTCTCATTTGGTCTGATTTGGCGCCGGACATTCTATCCAACCTCTTGAAGCTATAATATGGACCAAGAGTCGGACGCGATCTGTGGAACAGTGGGTTATGCATCAGTGGCTGTTTCTTGATATTCGTGTATTTTGAACCTACCAGGCTTCTTCAAATGATCAAGTTCCTTGTGCATCACTCCTGCGGGCCGCCAATCTGGTTTTGTGCTCTGTCCTCCATAAGGATGCTTGCCCTGTTTCTTCGGCTCAATGAGACTGACCCAGACTTTAGAGAATGTTCGGCAATTGAACTGTTGGAATCCATGAAAGGCTGCCAAACAGCATCCCAATTATTCGAAATGCATTCGAAAAAATCATGATTCAATTCACACACTGGTGGGTGGTGCTGACGGGCATGAAGAACAAAACAATGGAAAAGTTTGCTTAAACAGAGTTGAGCTCTGAAATCCGCAAGCTCACGCAGCGCAGGATAATTTTGCCAAGATTTGAGAATACAGCACCATGACCGTTGACAACAGATGTATACATCTGACCAAAGACTGTGATATTTTTGCACGGCAGGGCTGCTGAATGCTTAACCTATAAGACAATGATCCCAAAACTGCCAGCCAGAAAACCAAATACCAAGGGTTGCGCCCAAACTGCAAAGCCAACACGTACTTTTGGTATCAACATCGTCCAAATCATATGAAATCGCAGTAGCTGTTGGCTGCAGAAAAATGGCGCCGCAAAGGACAAATTGGCTACGGAATTGGGCCCGCCTCAAGCTACAGCCAGGTTGAAGCATCTCCTCTGGGTGTTTTACAACCTCGATTTGCTGAATAATAATGTCATCACTGTGGAACCGCGCCGATCTCAAGGGGAGTGACGACGATATCTGTCTATCTGCAGAATGCAATCAGAGTTGAACATGAAAAGCGGACCGCGACGTTCACCGTATCATTTGCCCAGATCTCTAGGAACAACAGATGCGACGCTCTGTTGTCAACTCTAATCGTCCACTATACCCCGTGCTCTTTCCGCGGGTGAAATTGGTCAAATCCAGGGCAAGGGAACGGGAACTTGGCGGTTCCATGGCTTGGTGCTCACCTAGAAACGTGGGAAACCGGGCAATGGACTCCATACCTTGGTTCATTCGATGTCATAGCTAGCCGTGCTACTCAATACCCATTTCTTGTATAACTATAGAGGAGAGGGGCCCTTCGAAACCCCTCCAACCAATACAGATTTTGATGCTATTACTGTTGCCTCTTCCCATATACTATTGACCTCTCACACAGTCTACTATTGTTTGTCTTTTTCGTCAGAATGATAAACGCGAACGGCCAACATCAGAATGCCTATCCAAATTTTAGCTTACGCGGAAAGGTTTACATCGTCACAGGCGGTGGCAGAGGGCTAGGATTAGTAATGGCAGAGGCAATAACTGAAGCCGGTGCAGAAGGTGTGCATCTTTGACTCCCTCGCTAACCGGCATTTCTTGCATCGACGTTGACTATGTCCTTGTAGTTCATTGCTTCGATATCCTGCCAGAGCCAGAAGATGATTTCATCGCGACACAAGAGCTTGCTAACAAGGCACATATCGGCAAGCTGTTCTACCACCACGTGGACGTGAGAGACCCGAAGCTTCTTAACGACGTCGTGGAAAAGATTGCGTCCCGTAACAACCGCCTCGACGGGCTGGTCGCAGCTGCTGGAGTTCAGCAAGTGACAGAAGCCATAGACTACACAGCTGATGATGTGACCAAGATGATGGATATAAACTATACCGGAGTCTTCATGACCGCCCAAGCCGCCGCCCGACAAATGATGGCTCTCAACTCTCCTGGGTCGATAGTCTTAGTGGCCAGTATGAGTGGTATGGTGGCCAATAAGGGCCTCAATTCCCCCGTGTACAATTCTTCGAAAGCTGCCGTTATCCAACTGGGCCGAAATCTAGCTATGGAGTGGGGCAAAAAGGGGATTCGAGTGAACTCACTCTGCCCAGGCCATGTTATCACGCCTATGGTCGAAAAGAATTTTGAAGAAGTGCCTGAACTGAGGAAGATATGGGAAAGGGAGAGTATGCTTGGACGGTTATCCAGACCAGAAGAATTCACCGGAGCCGCCATCTTCATGCTCAGCGAAGCAAGTTCATATATGACTGGTAGCACTCTTGTGATTGATGGCGGGCACACAGCCTGGTGATCCTTATGATTTCGTGATACGTGTGGGAATATCTTCCAGGAGGTGGAAGATATCAACATGGCCAATCATATCTTATCATCATGTATTATGCTTCGGCTCAGCATCTTAGCAGCGTAGCTTTGTTTAACGAGTTCAATTACACAACATAACTGCTGTATAGCCTAGAGAGTCGTCATTCGTATGATCTAAGGAATTTGAGGCTAGCACAAACCTCAACTAAAGAAGAACATTACAGGGTAGTCCAGTCATAATGCAGAGCGGAAGGCCGCCTGGTGGATGGTTGCAGGATTCTTAGCGAACAACATATGTATATAAGGGCCTTTCCATTATGGCATCAAATGCAGCTTTCAGCGGTGCCAATGGTAAATTGGGAAGGCAGGGGTACTGGTCATCTTTGAACCACCCTCCCTCGTCGTCTTCCTGTCTTCCGAATGCTACTGTAATATCCCCCTCATAAAATCCCAAAAAAAGGAAAAAATAACCCCTGAGGAAGGTGTCGGACAACTCCAAACTTGTGTTTTGAGGCAGAGCAACGTCCTTTGTCCTTTTCGATGGACAGAGAACCTTCAATTGGAGTCGGGGGGAACTGGTGGAATAACAACGGACCGACGGGCCTTCGTGGCTAACTCTAATGAGGTTAGCTAAAACCCTATCCAGAGCCGGCAAATGAACGGTCTTGGCAAGTGAGGTCTAGGCGGAGACGCGGCTCTCCATGTAGCGCATCTCCGCAAGTGATATTGATACACATTATTACTTTCATTGAGATTGAGATCGCGGAATTGAGTTTAGATTTAGTATGATCAAGTCGCTTTGGATTTATCAAGTCGCATGCAAAGCTTCGCCAAATAGGTTGTTGTATCGACAACTCCCAATGCCTCCAACCCTGCGAAGTCCCGGCCACAATGGTGCTATTACGAATCCTCGTGTGATATGTTATTATCAGACGTATTATCCTAACAATGGACCCGACTATGTCTCTACTCTGCCACTCTTAAGGAACAACTGCGGGGTATCACACATTATTCTTGCCGCAATACATATCAACGCGGAGCCGGGAAATATTACACTTAATGATCATACGCCTGACGATCCCCGGTATACGCCATTATGGGCGGAAATGCGTGTGATGCAGACAATGGAGATCAAAGTGATGGGGATGTTGGGCGGTGCTGCTAAAGGGAGTTATCAGCGGCTGGATGGTGGCACAACCGATTTTGAGGCTTATTACGGCCCACTGCGCGACATGATCCGAGCACATAACCTTGACGGGCTTGACCTAGACGTGGAAGAGGAGATGTCCCTCGAGGGCATCGTTCGGCTGATTGACCGTCTAAAATCGGATTTTGGGGATAATTTCATTATTACCTTGGCTCCTGTCGCAACAGCCATGGTACATGGACTGAAACACCTCTCTGGCTTCGATTATCGGGAATTGGAGGCTGCAAGGGGCCCAAAAATCTCCTGGTATAATGTTCAATTCTACAATGGATGGGGCCACATGCTTCATCTCAGCGTTTATGATACTATAATGCTCCAAGGTTGGAAGCCCGAAAAGATCGTAATCGGTCTCTTGACCAATCCTGCGAACGGGTCTCAAGGGTATATCCCGATGGAAACAATGAGTTATGTCTTAGCAACTGTGTTGGCGAAGTACCCGTTCTTTGGAGGGGTATCAGGCTGGGAATACTTCAACGGGATGCCTGGGGGTGGTGCGCGGCCGTGGGAATGGGCTGCTTCGATCTCCTTGATAATGGCAATGAGAACGATCCTGGGGACGACTGCAGATGCTCTGGGTTTAACAGTAACGTGATGCATTCGAATGGTAGACTTGATTAACTAGAGCTTGGGAGCGAGATGTTTGTTATGTTTGCAGTCAATGTCGTCATCGTCTCTGCCCAGTGGATTGACCGTTGAACAACGTCAATCCTTGTGCAATGGAGGTCTGCTGTCGAGCAGTAAAGTATCACATTCAATTCATACTCTCGGGATGCTGTCGTCTCAAGCAAATTTCATTATCGCATTGAGCTCAACAACCCTGAGACTGCTCAGCTATGTTTTCCTTCGCTGGGTATGTTTGGAGAAAGTGACTATCTCGAAGCATTGCTAATCTCGGACCTAGATTCCTGGGCACCCGTTTACGCCAATAATCCTCACAAGTTTGCTTGTATATTTGGCCTCGATTTATCTTGCCAGAGAGCAAGAAGGCTCCCAACGAGCTACAGGAGAACATAATAAAACTCGAGGGAAGAAATCAAAAGGCAAAACGCAGAGTGACAATGGAGAAAAAGGCCACAAGAATGAGGGCCCACGCCAGGCTACACTGGAAACCAGGAAAACCGAGCGAGTATCTGCTTTGAGGTCCTTGTTACTGGGCGTACCATCAACAACTTCAAAGCTCGCGAGCTACGCAACAGTAGGAATCAACATTGCTTTGGCTCTCCTGACGCTTGATTTCGTTCTACGGGGCCTTATTTTCTATCCAACCGAAGATCTTTCGTTTTCTCGAGTTGGATATGTGTCTCCAACTTCCGCAAAGATTTTCGTGCGAGAGCCGAACGAAAACTTTCCGGTGCATATTTCATATCAGGAGGTCGAAGATGGCGGAACTGGGAAATCAATGATGGCAGGAACGTTGTATTCACTTGAAAAGTCGACTGACTTTACTTATCCCATTTCAATCACCGGACTTAAGCCTTCGACGAAGTACCGGTATTCGTTGTCGAATAACCAAGTTGGAGAGTTTGTCACGGCGCCAGAACCCGGTTCCCCAGAAGCAGAAAGCTTGACTTTTGTGACCTCGAGTTGCATCAAGCCCAACTTCCCCTACAACCCACTGTCTCACCCTTTCCGGATCCATGGGGTAGATATTCTTACCTCAACTCTAGAACGGTTGAGTTCAGCGCTTCGTCCTGCTTTTATGCTCTTTTTGGGTGACTTCATCTATATTGATGTGCCGTGGCGATTTGGGTCGTCCACCAAGCATTACCGAAATGAATACCGCAGAGTTTACTCCTCGCCTAGTTGGCAAATTCCTCCCCATTCGCCAGCTAATATTCCATGGATTCATACCCTCGATGATCACGAAATCGCAAACGATTGGGCCTCTGGAAACGAGACTCCGCCGTACCCAGCGGCCGCGGACCCATACCTTCATTATCATGTTAGCGTGAACCCTCCTATTCCAGAAGATCGGTACTCTATCCCGTCCAACACCACTTATTTTTCTTTCGTCAACGGCCCGGCCTCATTTTATCTACTAGATACTAGGACGTACCGTTCTCACCCGCTACAGGAAGACTCAACCATGTTGGGCCCAGCACAGCTACAATCCCTTCTTGACTATATTCTACGTCCCGAGCCTGAGGGTGTGAAATGGAAAATCATTACCAGCAGTGTGCCTTTCACAAAAAATTGGCATGTTGGTACGCCCGATACCTGGGGTGGGTTTTTGAAAGAAAGGCGCAAAGTTTTCGAAGCCATGTGGAAGGCAGAATACGATTTGGGAGTGCGAGTCGTTCTACTAAGCGGTGACAGGCACGAATTTGCCGCGACCCGGTTCCCAGATCCAGTCCTCTCATCTACTTCTCTCCCTGAGACATTTTCTGGCGCTGGTAGAGGAATTCATGAGTTCTGTACTGGCCCGCTTAGCCAGTTCTACCTCCCGGTGCGGTCATATCGCCAGGAAGATAATGAAGATGTGGCTATCAAATACGTTCCTGACGGGAATTTCAAGTTTGGCCTCGTGCATATCGGCGTCGATAAGAGCGGTGACCAGCCTGCCTCTTATCTAACATATTCATTATATGTAAATGGAAAGGAGGTCTGGCGGTACAGGCTGGCAGCACCTTTGGCAGCCCCAAAAGGACGTGTTCCTCCACCGGGAGAAATCATATTCGACCATGTGGATAACTGGGAAGAGGGATTAAGAAAGAACGTCGGGTCATGGGCGGCGTTTGCGCGTGAGAGATCTGGCTGGGTAGGAAAAGCTACGAGCAAGGCCTGGGATGGATTTCTGAGAAGCATTCGAGTTGACGAATGAGTGTTGGTCCGCATTTGTGCATCCGCGAAGCATTGCCATCTTTACCGTCTTTTTTTCCAATCTTGACATCTTCTTGGATATGATAATAACTACTAATGATCGTATTGGAACTCGAACGTTGAATTAGCTTGTTCAAAGGGTTCTTTTGGCCTGGACTCCAAGGACTGACTATTCAGCAAGATCACCCCTAGCTGGATTTACTCGAATATAAATACTTTTCCACATCTCTGAACATTCCTCTCTACCATGTTCAAGACTCCAGAAACTACTTTGCCTTTCTACTTTGTCTTTCCGGTATTCTAGATATCCACATCTCGCTTAAAATGCCACCACTATGTCTGCAGAAACGATTACCGAGTTAGCTTTCTATGCACATTCCTGACAAGCGTATATAATTGCAACCCTGTCAAAAGCTGTGCTCACGCACACATGTCACCTGCGGACCGCTTTTTATGGCTCTGTGCTTCTCTTGCAGGGTACTTCTCCATCGGACAGAGAGAGCAGGTGACGGGAGGTCTGGCACAGACCCCCAATTGAACCTGGGGAATTAGGGGGCGCTGGATATCTTGGGTGCGACAAAGAGGGTATCTTGAGGCCCTTTGAGAGATGGTATACGAGCTGTCCGCACTCAAAGCTTTAGGAGTAAATGAGCGATCCATTTGTGGCACGGCGGACGGGAAGAGAAGATTAGATCGAGGGAGGGTGATTGAGTGATTGAGCGCATAGAGACTGGGCAGCTGTATGCTAATTCATGTTTGATGTTGCGGGCGAAGTGCCAATTCCTACTGCGATGTGAAAGCATCGCGTGTGCGAAATGGGAGGACGGTAGAAGCGCCACTAGAAAGTGCGAGGATGGCTGGACCTGGCCTGCAGATTGAGTCTTCTGTGCGCGAATTGGAACGTTTGGGTAATACTTTAAGCGCAACGAGAAAAAGTTATACCGCCAAAAAGATCCCTGGTACCGAACGCCGCCTTGATGTTATGCGTATATTCATGCTGCAAAACGACAAATCATAACACGTCGGAACAGTATTATCGGCGTCCTCTTCCACTTCCACCACCACCACCACCACCACCACCACCCAGCATCCCGCCCATCTGGCTCATCATACTTTGGAGATCCATGCCTCCAAAGTTGGGCATTCCACCGGCACCGGCTCCTCCACCGCCTTGTAGCATCTGCATCATCTTGGCCATATCGCCCATCCCAGGCATTCCAGGCATACGCGGCATTCCAGGACCACCAGCTCCGCCCATTGCAGCCATCCTTTTTTGCATAGCTGCCATTTGTTGTTCTTTGTTCCCCCCCTTGAGCATATTCTGTGCACGCTGCATTTGTTTCTTCTGGCCGCCAACTTTCTTTGCCATACCAGCCATCATCTTATGTTGTGACAGGAGGTCTTCGACTTCTCGTACACTCGTGCCGCTTCCATAGGCAACGCGCACGATCCTCGACGGCTGGTCAACAAATACTTTGCCATCACCGTCGAGTTCTGCAGCTGTCATGCTGTCGAAAATATAGATCATCCGTCGGAGTTTGAGAGAGCCATCTTCATCATCTAAACCAGCTGTGAGGCCAGAAAGCCCAGGAATCATACTTGATATTTTGGAAAGTGGACCCATTTTCATTATGGAAGTTATATTTTCGCGGAAATCTCGAAGTGTGAAAATTCCCTCTGAAATATGCTTGTAGGTCTCTTTTGCGCCCGCTGAACCCTGTGTTACTGCTTGGACGTGCTCGACCAAGCTAGCCATATCACCCATTCCTAGTAACTTTTGTATAAATGGCTTTGGCGCAAATCTTTCTAAATCTAGCATGTGTTCTCCGGTACCCAGGAAGATAATAGGCGTTTTGGTTGCAGCGACAGCGGAGATGGCACCACCACCAGCGGCATGTCCATCAGTTTTGGTGATAATGATAGCCCCAAAGTCTGCAGTGGATTTGAACGCTGCGGATTGTGCCTCTGCCGCTTGTCCTATAGTACTATCGAGAACCATGATGGTTTGATCGGGTTTCACGGCGTTTTGAATCTGGATCATTTCTGTGAAGAGATCTGCTTCTTGCTTGTGTCTTCCGCTGGTATCGACAATGATAAGTTCAAATTTCTCTTTTTTAAACTTCGCAACGCCCTCCGCCGCAACGATAGCAGGATCCGTCTGCGTTAAGCTACCATAGTATGGGATTTTCGCTTTGGTCGCGTTCTGCTTTAATTGATCAAAGGCACCAGCACGGAATGTATCTGCGCAAACCAGCGCGGACTTGAAGCCTCTTGTTTGGTAATGCCGGGCAAGCTTTGTACATGTTGTCGTTTTTCCCGCACCTTGGAGACCAACGAACATGATCACATTCGACCGTCCCTTCTTAGGTTTGAATGGTTCGGTTTTAGGGTCTACCAAGGTAACTAGCTGGTCAAATACAGCCTTCTGGATTAGACGCTTTTTATTGACAGCCGGGGGGATAGAGGAGAAATTAACGGAGGACTTTATCGATTTCCGTAGTTCTTGGACAAGCCGGACGTTCACATCGGCGGAGAGGAGGGCAGCGCAGATTTCTTTTAACATAGAATCAAACGCCTTGATAAATATATCAGCCCAGTACTTCAAATAGCCGGAAGACAACAGGACTTTACCTTCTCGTCCAGATTACTGGATCTTGTCAGATCACTGACCGCAGCGTTAATCCGCCGCCCTAAGTCTTGAAGAACCATGACGACGTAGTAAATTAGTCTAAAAAATGCCTGCTTTTCAAAGAATAGAAAATGCACCGCAACCGAGCAATAATGACTGCTGGGTTTGAAGTTGCGGAGAGCAAGTCAACCGCAGTCTGTCTTGCCGCTGTGAATCCGTTCCTGTCACGTGACCGAAAGCGATCGACTTGAGTTTTGAGAGAGCGCAGACTCGTGGGGAACGACAGGCCACGAAGACAACCAAGGAAACACGCAATGGGACCGTCAATATCGAAGAAAAGAAGGATAGAGGATGCCATGCATGGCAAAACCTCGCAGCCTAAAAAGAAATTCAAGAAACAGTTGGAATACCACAGCAGCGACTCCGAGGATGAAGATGATACCGCAGCTCCTGAGCTCCCGGGCGTGAACCTGCAAGACGCCGATGACAGTGAAACGCCAGTTCAAAATATTAAAGTAGCGAAAGACTCTACGGCTACTTCCGATGCGGAGGACGAAAGCATCAACGGATCTGACTCCGAAGCCGGTTCCGATTCATCGTCTCACTCAGACTCAGACGGTGAAAGCACAATCAAACGCAAACGGATGTCCAAACGGAATGACCCCACTGCATTTTCTACGTCTATATCTAAAATTCTGGGGACGAAGTTACCTACGGCTGCCCGCGCAGACCCCTTGCTATCCCGAAGCAAATCGACGGCGCAAACCGTTGCGGACCTTGCTAGCGAGAAACTCGAAAAGCGAGCCCGTGCAAAACTACGTGCTGAAAAGAAGGAAGAACTAGAACGAGGTCGAATAAAGGATGTTCTAGGCGTCGAACGAGGGGAGGCCGGTGAAACGGCTGAGCAGGAAAAGCGCCTACGAAAAATCGCCCAAAGAGGTGTAGTCAAATTGTTCAATGCCGTTCGGGCTGCGCAGGTACGAGGCGAAGAAGCAGCCAAGGAGGAAAGGAGGAAGCGTGCGACAGTTGGAATGGATGAACGAGAAAAGAAAGTCAACGAAGTTAGCAAACAGGGATTTCTGGAGCTGATCAATGGCAAAGACGGAAAGAAGGTAACGATTGAAGAAGCATGAACCTCGCCGTTCTGCCTATCATATTCACTCGCATGCTTTGGGGCGTCGGAGCGGATCACCTTGGTCTTCATATATTATCGTTTATGGACAAGCCGGAAAAATTCGGAAAAGTTGGTTGGGAAATCCTTCAAGGCTATCATACACATGGCATTCTAGATCCTGCCGAGTCTTTATACATTGGCAATTGAACTTCATGACAAGGTTTTCATTGCACAGCATTGTGGGTTGAGGGTATCATTTTTTCTCCGCGAAGTCGCTGGCCTGCAAATTTCTAGTCATACTTGGGAGTCGCACGACCAGCCCGTCAAGCTCGGGAGTCATCTTGACCTGGCATCCAAGCCGCGATGTCTCCGTCAAACCAAAGGCAAGATCTAGCATATCATTTTCGTCGTCGTCGGGTTCGGGCATCTGGTCATATAAGTTTTGGTCCTCAACAATCACATGGCAGGTAGAACAGGCACAAGAACCCCCACAGGCTCCTAAAAACCGAAGAGGTCAGTCAAATACCATGCTTGCTGTTGTAGATAAGGCGACCAACCTTCCATTTCCAAATCATTTGCTTGTGCAATGTCAAGCAAGTTGTCTCCCTTGGCCACTTGGAAATCGTGCCTGTCGCCGTCTTTGTCGATGAACGTGACATTGATTCTGGCATCATTTAGCAAAACCAAGTTCTAACGGGGCCGAATCTGTGTTTGGCTTACTCTTCGCCTGGTTTTGGGGGGTCGATGTGGCCGTGTGCGGCTTTCGCCGTTGCGGAGAATAGCCGTCGCGATTGAGCAAACTTCTCATATGTAAATCGCGAACGGCAGGGTGAATGGCGCGAGTTGCAGTTGGTCTGCATAACTGATAGGCCTCGATCGGTCTATCCTCTGATGATTCGAAGCTGTTGCCGGGCTCCAGCACCGCGATTTCCCAAGCCTGCTATATTGTCCGGCAGCTGGGGCGGCGGAAGGCCGGAGGACCTGCTGGCATATCGACCTCCAGGGATTCATAACTGCCCAAGAGTAGAATTGGCGTGTAGGATCAGATGAATTGCGGAAATGCTCTGCTGACAGAGATTTGCTCGCTGGATGTTCGGCTTGGAGAAAGCGGCGACAAGCGGAATTTGCGGCAGGCCCAATTTAGAAAATCAACATCTCCGAAGCTCAGTTCATCCGCAAGACAGTTCCAGCAACCATCAACGCACGATCGAATCTGCTGAAGCGACTAGACCGCATTCCACACCAGCTTCCGGGCCCCAGTGCCTTCAGAGCACAATGACCACACTCTCCGAAGGCCCAAATCCGCTTCGTCCATACTACATTCCTCCTTCGATTGGCCTGCCTAACGGGCAGTCGGCCTCAAAGTTCCCTTCAAATGGCGGTCCCTCGGCGGCTGATGCCAACATAACTGGCTTCAGGAGCTCTGCACGCGAGATTCTCTCTGATTTCGACTACTCGGATTATCTGGGCGAATCCTCTCCTTCGGTGGCGGAATCCATACGACAGCTTCTCGAGAGCGCACTACGGAGATACTCCCGCGTTCTGATTTCACAGCCGTTCGATGTCGCAAAGACCATTCTTCAAGTCTACGTTGTCCAAGATGCCGAACAAGAGGCGGGGCCCGTCGATGGGGAACGGAGGCGGGATCGAAGTTATCGGGAGGGCACGTATACCGACGTATGGACCAGTTTCCCGCAGTTGGCTGTCACCTTTAAGCGATACTAACTCTACGTGCTTTAGCAAACTGCATACTCTTCGGATGACGAGGACAGCTATTTTACGCCAGCAGCGCCAGCCGCCACCGCGCCCGCTACGTCTCGTACCAATCGCCCACCTCCTCGAATAACAGACCGAAGCGGATACATCCCACAGTCCTCGAGACCCAGCTATATGCTTAAAATTAAGGATCCCTCTGCCCTTTTTGATGTACTCGCGCAACTTTGGACGACAAATGGAGCAACGTCCATCTGGAAGGGATCGACTTCAACCTTCGTCTATTCCTTACTCCTCCCTACTTTGAATACGTTCATTCGAAGTTTGCTCTCAGCTATTGTCGGCTATCCGGAGGACAATTTCTCAGCAGTCCTCGAATCGGACATTTTAGCATCTGCATCCCCCGGGATAACCTTAGTTTTGTCCTGTGTTTCAGCGGCACTGACGTCGATCGTGCTCTCACCAGTTGATACGGCAAGAACGTATTTGATATTATCGCCGTCAGGCCATGGACCAAACTCCTTATTCCGCGCCATTCGCCAACTCCCCACGCCCTACTATTTAATCCCTCCTCATTTGCTCCCTATCACAGTCTTGACTTCCACTATCCCTACGCTACTCGCGCACAGCACCCCACTTTTCTTAAAGTCCTACCTTTCGTTAGACCCGGTTCTTAATCCTTCAAGCTGGAGCCTTTTCACTCTTATGGCTTCTGGCTTCGAACTAGCAGTTCGGATTCCACTAGAGACGGTTTTGAGACGAGCCCAAATATCCACTTTCACATCCCCCGTGTTAAGGCAGCAGCGCATCATGCCAACATCCTCCGGCCACAGAGACGCTACGTCGATTGTAAAAACGGTTGTCCCTACTCCACAAACATATCGGGGCATCGTTGGCACAATGTGGAGTATTGTTTACGAAGAAGGCACGGGCAGGACTCCTGAAGCGGATGCAATCGAGAACGCGCTTGGTCATCCCCCAGAATCCGAAAAGGATGGTTCCCCTGGGCGGGTACAAAGGCGCCGCAGAGGCCAGGGAATACGGGGTCTCTATCGCAGCTGGAGACTGGAAATGTGGGGTATCGTTGGAATCTGGGGATCTGGATTCCTCGGGGCTCTCCTTGGCTCTGGAGAGGACGAGATTCTGACAGGATCGGGCTCAACTATGGGCTTGGGATCTGTTGGTAGTCGAACAAGTGCGGGGGCTTTTTGAAGGATCCTTATACCCCTGTTTATGACTTCCCTAGCTTGCTGAAGTATATATTTATATCGAGATACCCGTTTCCGAGTTCAACCACTTTGCGATCATTTAATGGCTCTTGTCTGGTCGGGTGGCATAGTTTACAGCACTTTTACTTCCCGCCCGGACACATCTTTCCCCTTTTCTGGACCTTGATTTCTGCTTTCTACGTTGTACAGTACTATTGTCAAGAACTCACCACATCTCTGCTCTCCTCTACCACCGTCTTCTTTCAGCTGGTTCCCGCCCGGGATTGTGGGCATGGCGTTGGACTACACAAGTTATGCGTTATCAAAAGCTTTGTGGGCGGTCTCGTGTTCTTTTCATCTTTCTTTTTCGCTACTGTTGTCTTAATATGACCTCTTCCAGTGTTATCAGGCATCTGTTTCTGGCTATTAACCAACTTCTGGGGCATTCACCTACAAATATGGGCGTATGCAACATAAACTGCCAGCTCCGTGTAAGGGGACATTGGCAATGCTTGAAAATGCTTGCTACTTGGTGCGAATGCATCACAGAGTAGTGTGTAAGCGATTAGCTCAAAAATGGGTATTCTGTGCACTGAAATTTCATCTTTAGACAACATTTGTTTTCATCTATAGTGCATCATCTGACCCCAGAGCCGTCATGACGAGTCGAGCACGTTCGACTATTAGCCTGATATAATAGTGACAGCAAGAAATAAAGAAACTCGCCCGCCAGAACCAAGATCCAGCCCCCTTTTTGGTTTTTTCCTAAAATTTTCATCCACAATCCATGAAGTCGGATGTTAAAAACATTTCAAGGCACGCATAACGTTTGCAGGAAATAGCAGTCAGAACAAGAAATTTTCAAGGTTGAGTACAAATACATGATGTTATTCATTAATTGGCAAATCGCCTGTCGAAATACCGCAGGACACCCATGACGCTGGCGGCTTCGACCTCCAGAGCCGGACGATTCCTGATGGATGACGAAAGGCCTCGTGGAATCGGAAGGGTGTGAAGCCGGGGTAGCCATGTGGTAAGCTCATCGGATGCGCGAGCAAAATTAGGATGCCGCGAAAGCGTCGTAAAGGTGTCTGCACAGCTCAGGGTGATTGGGGGCGCGCAAGGTGGGTTATCCTTCAACACCAGGTGTTCGTTGTTATCCTGCGATGGTGCTCGTGACTGACAACAGCCTTCTCCCGAGCCATCACCCCCGCAGCATCCTGTTCCAGCGCTCGCGGCGCGTGAGGCCGCTAGGCTCTTGCAAAATAGTGTGCTCCTTGGGTCCGCAACACACTGTGCACAAGTGCCGGGTCCGTTTGCACACGGGTTTGGTTTGCTCGTTAGGGAGGACAGCGAGTCAGAGAACACATCGCCGTCGGACGGAGGTGGAGTAAACTGAGAGAGATGCTTTATAGGCGCAAGCTTGTTGGTTTGCTGAGGCCTTCTTTGTTCTGCGGGCTGGTCTGCTGCCATTTCGGCACAAATACACGGCGTCCCGTCCTGACAAAAACCGCAGGGGTCAAAAAGGGGGGTGGGTGAGAGAACAATCACTTCGCTCTCCGATTGCTGGCGTGCAAACCTCGAAGTGAAATCAATCTCTAACTCTTCGGGCTCGGATTTGATCTCGGGTTCGACTCTGTGGCGTTTTGCTAGAGCTTCTTGCTGCGGCGAATTTGGTCGCTTTGGTATCGAAGACTCACCTTGGCGGTTAGAGACGCTCGACACGTTGAACGCATCGTCAATGCATTGACATCGGGTTGAGGAACAGTTTTCGCATCCACCAGGGACTGTTTCTGTTCGATTTCGCGCCTTTATTGTTCGGAGCTCGTTGATCGCAGCATCCTTGGAGTTTCGCTCGGCGGAAACATCGTTTTCCAGTGTCTGGCAGCGCTTCTTCCACCATAATATTTCGTTTCTGCAGTCTTCAAGTTGCTTCGAGAGGGTGTTAATTCGTACTTTCATTAACGCCTCTTTTTTGTCGTTTTCTTCCTCGATATTCTTGATTTGCTCCTCCAATTCCCCTACCCTCGCCGCTCTTCTCTCACGGAATGCTCTTTGGGCGGCACGGTTTTGAGCTTTGCGCTTGGTGGGCGGCGTATCGGTGGCTGGTTTGCGGCCCGGTTTGGGTCGTGGTGGAATAACCCACTCTCTCGATGTAACGGAGCATTGCACCAAGGGAGCAGGAGAGCCCGCAGCTGCAATTGGCTTCATGGAGACCAAGGGGGGGCGCGAGGCCAATGGAGCCAACGGCAGAGGAGACGCGGGGGTCGACGTCGTGGGTGTGCTCGTTGCGGATGCCATGGTCTAGAGTACGGATGGACCAGGAAAAAGAAAAGGCCAAACAGGAAGAAAAGGTATGGAAATTGGGGGAGAGAAAGTCGTCAACGGGGAACCGGAGTCATGGAAAACGTCAATGGCTCCGCTCCAGTTTCACAGCCCGCAAGAGTGCAGAAATAGAAATTGATGGGCGTCGAAACAGTGAAGGAAACATGGGCAATCTATCGCCTTGACCAAAAGAGAAAAAAACGGAAAAAGAATCTGCAGGGAGGATTGCAGCAATTTGAAGCCGAAATACGACAGCAAAGCCAGCGACGAACGGATGTTGCAGGAGGTTTTGGGGGGGGATCTCGGGAGATCAGATTAGATTATCGTGCGACCCTGTCACGTGAAGAGCGCTTCCGATGTCGCCGCTTAGCGAATCACATGGCCGCGTGTTATCTGATGCCCCGCAGTTGCAGTTCCATACCGTACTGTGCGGTATTGTCATTACATACGCTGTGACTTACTGTTTGTATGTCGCTTTTGGGCGAGAGAAGGAATGCACAACGCAATTGCAGCTCAATTGAAGAGGCATGGCCGGCGACTCGCATCGATGGTCCAAGGAGAACTGAATGTGCAAGCTCCTCTTCGGCATCATAGCTTCATTCGGCGCTGCAACCAGTCAGAATGACTCAATCTGCCCGTATCAATGCACGCCCTTCACCGGCCGGGATTCTGGACCTCGACTATATAAGAGTTGCATCCGCGGGATTTGGCCTTGCTGTCGAAGTCTATTTCCACCTGGAATCCCCAGCGATTCCAAAACTCACGAGCCATGTCCTCCAACAGCATCGTCGCCAGTCCCAGAGTTCTTGGCCTTCTAAAAGGACTCCACGCCGCTTCCTTGGCCCAGGAGTCCTCATTCTCGCTTGTTGTGTTTTGGCTCTTCAAGGTTATCCGTTATCGGTTCGCCAAGGAGAAATGGAGCTCCCGGGACGATGACTTCATGCGGGACAAATTCATTGCCCTCGAGCCTGACAAGTGCGAGTTGGTCTATTTGCTGGCGAGGACCACCGGCGCTCTGAACATCGTCGAAGCTGGAACCAGTTTCGGCGTTTCGACCATATATCTGGCCCTCGCGGCGGGACAGAACGCTGCAGCAAAGGCGACATCCGGCCCCATCATCCCCGGCCAGGGAGCCAAAGTGATCGCGACTGAGAATGAGCCCGAGAAGGCCAAAAGAGCAAAGCAACATTGGAAAGAGGCTGGAGAGGAGGTTGAGCCATGGATTACTCTGCTGGAGGGTGACCTTCGCGAATTGCTGCCGCTGGAGGTGAACAAGACGAGCCAAATTGATTTCCTCCTACTCGACAGTATGTTATCACCTGCCATGACCCTGCATCTCACCTTGAAGAAATGAGAGCTTACTTGTCTCGCAGTTTGGACGCCAATGGCTCTTCCGGCCCTGCAGGCGGTTCAACCGAAACTGCGTCACGGTGCTCTGATTGTCGCGGACAATACTGCAAAGTCACGAGCGGGCTACAAGGACTTTTTCGACTATGTCTGCAATCCGAGCAACGGATTTAAAACATTGACCACGCCATTCAAGGGTGGACTCGAGGTTTGCGTGTACCTCCCTGAAAACACAGCCTAGGCGGACTTTGCCGATTTTGATCGCTGGATGGAGTCGGATTGTTTATAGCTTTCCCGCATTCAGGCTTGTTTCTATCGGATCCTTCATATGTAGTTATTGGGGGTAAAACTGATCCTATTTCACCAACCAGAATCCAACCAGACTCCGCACCCTTTGTCTGATTTGCTAATGTTATCCAAACAAATAAACGAATATAATGCTGTACTCCTTCAAACTATATAGTCATACAATCACCGCCATTCTTAACCGAACAAAAGCATATCTATGACTTTTGTTTCTTTGGCCCTCTTTCACCGCTTAGAATAGCCCTCTCCTTGAGGTACTTTTGAACAATCCCTTCGACAGTTCCAAAGTCATGCTCCGGTTTTCTAATGTAATGAAAGGTTAGCGCCGAGAAGCGTCTTGGTATCCGGATTGCGGCAAAAAAAAAAAAAAAAAAACATACCTCATATATGTCAATCTTGCACGTCTCTTCCTCTTCTCCGCTCGTTTCACTATTTCCACAGCTTGCACATTGGGGCTGTATACTTTAATCCACATCTCACACGCGACTCGAGTCAACTGGTTTCGCAGCAGGAATGCAGTGTCCACTCCCCGCTGGCGGATATTGAGGCAGACGCCCGCAAACGGATCGCCGGACTTGAAAGACACCCGGAGGATATCGCCAACTTTAGCGCCCTGTCGGTTTCTCTTGTTGAAGAGTTTCTGTCTTTCGCCGGTTGGGTCTAGAATAGCCAGCTGATCCTTGGTAAAGGCGACAATCGGCTCTTTACAGGCAGCACGTGTGGAAGGCGGAGGAGGGAAGATCTTTATTTGATTCGCGACTATTTCGGACTAAAGTCAGCCATCTTCAACCCAGATATATGCAGACTTGGGAACGACTTGCCTTTTCCTGGTTTGAAAGCCTTTGGGAGTTGCGACTGGAATTGTTTAGGGAGGTTTTCGGGGAACGGGAGGCGCTGCTTTGGAACAGAATACACCGTTGTAAGGAATCGTCGGTGCGATTGAAGTTTTCCCAGCTCCCGACATATAGAGTTCCAGCAGCCTAGCGGCCGCGTTGCTGATTGTAATGAAGCCATTGTGCCGTTGGATGTGCGAGAGTGCGTGTTCAACTTGCGTTTGGCAGATTTGAAGATCTCAGCGGTGGTCCGTGCGTCACCAGCCAATATTCGGTCAAAATTCCTTCGATCTTGAGAATTCACTGCCCGGCCAATACAAAGGACAATTGAATTGAGAAACGAGATAACTTGCAACGATTTCCTTTTATCTATCTCTTGCGACGGATTAATCTAGTCCTCAACGATGGCCCAGGGTGGCATGGGGAGGGTCCCGGCGCTCCTCGCACGATGCGCCTCGCAGACCTCGAGAATAAGCCGGTCAAACAGATATTTCTCGAGCACATCTCCTTACTCTAAAGGTAGCCACGAGTGGAAGCAATTGATTCATTGTTTTTGCAATCGCTGACGAGACGCATTTGTAGAATTCTTAGCCGCATTCAAACCCTCAAGCTCGCCGGAATTGGACGCGCTGCTCACCAACTTTCGGCAGAACCTATTGATTCCCTTGTCGCTGAGTAGCCGACACAGAAGGTTAATATACAGAGATAGATTTGCCGAACAAATAAAAGATAACCCGATCTCAGTCAATGTCGGCGGAGAGGAAGAAGAATCGTATCGCCTGCGACACATGACACTTACAGACCACCCCGGCGACAAGGAATTGAGACAAATGGTCTCATTGATGAAAACCCACAATGACTGGCTGAACATGATCCCTTTCCTAATCGGCCTACAAAACGCAAACCGGCCGCTTTCGACCAAGCGTTTGGCATGGGTGGTTCGCAAGGCCGGCCTGGCCGGACAAGCCGGTGTCATGCTCGAGGCCGCAAAACAATGGAGACGGACGGGCGTCACCTTGAACGATCCCGCTATAGCAACAGCGCTTTTCCTCGCGATCCGATACAACGCTCAGCAAGTTGATTTCAAAGGCGAAGAGGCTCAAAAGGCGCTGCGACAGGCTCGAACAGCCGCCGAGCTGTTGGACGCTCCAGAGCATACTGCAACTGATCCCAAGCGTGATGCAAAGCGCCTGCCGGGCATCATCGCTATTCTATTAGAGCTAAGTGCCGCCGAAGCTCTCAATTCGGGTGAAGGCAAGGATGTTCGAGGAGAGGTTCGAGCGTACGCGCAGCGAGTCATCAGTACATGGCCGCTTGGAGACTTTGATATTCCAGCCGAACGTCATGCCGCTCAGTTCAAATTGTTCGAGCTAGTCCCCATATGGCATGGAATGAGCCTGGCTTTGCAGGTGGAGGAGGTCAAGACCAACGCCGAGTTATCCGAGGGTTTGAAATCCTGCATGAGCGAGCTTGGAAAGACAATTGATACCATCGTGGAGAACGTCACGAAGGAAAGCGGCGATGCGAAACGAGAAGGGGTGGAGCTGGCAAAACGACTGTGCCATAGATAGAGCGGTCTCAGTTTGTTCGTGAGACCATTTCTTGGGCGTCGAGGCGTCTTCGATGTATGTACAATTAGTAGCTAGGCATTTTTTGGTGGGAATCCGAATTTCAAACGGTAGAGAAGACAAATACTATGTTGTACCTCGGTTGCCATTTGTTTTACAATCGACGTCGCGAAGCAAACCGGGGATGAATTGGAAAAGCAACCCTAAATGAAGTCGATTGTAGAGAATATGCATATCTTAGATTACATATACATCACATATAACCAAGGTAAATAAAAGCAAAAGAGAAGCGAAAGAATTTGTTCCCTCTAGTCACAGAGTTTAAGCGTATTATCATCACGGATATGAGCCTTCACGCCAAGCGATGCCTTTTCAGAGACTACAGCAGGCCCCGTCACATACAACTGGTTTAACAGTCAGCAAAGATAATTTGCATATACGACCATGAAATTTCAACGTACCTCTCCCTTCGCTGCTCGATCATCACTGCCAGTTTCCTTGTGCCCAATCAGCTTTATTTCAACGCTGTTTGCAGGCGGTCCAAAATGACTATTTCCAGAATGTCTCCTGTAGTCATATGGTAGTGTCTGGCACACCGGCCCAGCGACACTCTTAGCGGTAAGCGCATATAGGACACGTGCTCCAGTAAATATTCTTAGGTCCGTCAACTGGTCAGAGGTGAGCTGGTTTTGTTTGTCTCCATCTGCCCGATGCGAAATGAACAATAATCGGAGTTTATCAAGCGAAAGCTCGGCGGTTGGTGCTGCGCTTGAAAGTCGCCAGAGCCAGTTCCGTGTTGGCATCACACCAGAGTCTAACGATCGGGTTTGGAAGAATCGTCCAATATTGGTGATTGGACCCATTGAAGGGCCCATACGTTGAGCATGGTAGTCGGAAATGGTGTGCGAGGACGCAACCATGATGGTAGGTGAAATGCCAGCAGTAGCAAGTGCCAGGTCGACAACTTCCCCAGCTACGGAATTAAGGGCAACAGAAGCATTGGCATAGAGGGCGGCGAGGGTCAAGCAAAGCGCGTAAGTATGGGCCAATGAGTCAACTGAGAGAAACAGATCGGAATCCTTGATCCTTTCTTTCCGCGGAAGGGAGCTTCCGAGAGCTGCAACGGCAGAAATCAAGTTCTACTGTGGTGGTTAAAAAAGTAGTAAAAATGTTACGGCTTGATAACTTACTCCGGCTGTATATTCAACAAAAGATCCAGGGCCGGTGGCAGAAGACCAGAGTGTAGTTACCGAAGGTGCAGGCATTTTGGGATCAGAGGGTGGTAATTCTGAGCCGACAAATTTACCCTTCTCCTTGACCAGGTCGTTCCAAACGGCTACTTTAACCCGGCCATCGAATTCATTTGGCTCTTGATTCCAGTCAAGGTGTTTATTTCCTCCTTTTGTTACCCAAACCACGTTCTTCAACGAGGTGCGGGCCTTTGACAACACCTGGAGGTCGACGGCACCAGCTTCGGCAATTAGAAAGTCCGCTTTGGCTTGCTGGAGATAGGCCGCTAGCTCTTCTGAGGGCAGGTTATGAGGAATTATGGTAGTGTGGAAGCCGTAGAATGCACCAGCTGCGACTCGTTAGCTGAGGTCTACCCGGATAACTATACATGACATGTACGGACCGAAGAGTGTAGCAAGCAATTCCACAGAGTCCGAAAGGCAGATGGCGACGTTCTGTGCCTCTAAACCGCGAATATATTGCCCGAGAGCGTTGATCTCTTTGGAGATCTCGTCAATATCCCGCTCTTCAACGTTTTTCCCTAAAACAGTGTATATCTTCCCACGCTTCCCTTTGGTTGTTCCGTCTGGGTTCAATGATCCCTTGACGGCACTTCTCCAGATATCACGAAGATCCCCATTTCTCCCATATGACCATTTCGGTGTTTCCGGGTCCTTCACTCCCAACCCGCTTTTGAGAGGATAGCCATGAGGCGCGTCCAGAGCCCGAAACGTTGCGGATTCTCCAGGCTGTCGAATTGGGGCTTCGATTGCTTGGCGGGATAGCATGTAAGGGTGCGCATCTGGGTCTTTCGAGAAGAAAGTGACATAGCCTACATAAGTGACCAAGAGAGCGGCTAGTCCTGTTGTGTAGATATCCCAGTCGGCCAGGAACCGGGAAAGAAAGTCGTCGAGCTTCTCGATGGCAGAGTCACTCGAGGCCATTGTAAAGGTATGCAGAAGAGGCTGACCGTAGTTGGAGATTGATCAAAGGTTCTGTAAGGGTTTAAATCATCGCTAGAGCTGCAACGACACAACAAATCGGAGCTGGCGATCAAGCTGTTGAAGTGTTCCGAGGCTGTGCCGACACGAATCTCAGTTCTGGTCGACCAGCACACACTGCCATATAGTTATTCCGTACCCTCCTACCACCTGGCAATAATCCTACGCAGAGCCAGACAGTAATTCACGATTTTACACAAGAGGACGACCTCGATCTGGTACGCTGAACAAATTGCCGCGCGGCAACCGCGTCTAAGCACTAGGCCCACACTCAAAGCGGCTGCTTTTTCCCGCCCAAAACAAACACCAAACAGCGTCGCGATGAGCATTCCCGCAGCGACACATTGAACCTGATATCGCCTGTTCCCACTGTTGTGGCCCTCGGTGCGCCACAGCCAAGGTAAGTAAGGTAAGTCTTTTCTTTCAGCCTGTATGCCAAAGGTACGTGACCATCAGCTCCATCATGAGTCTTGCTCACCTTACAGAATCGGCAGAGGCGTATATTTCCGAGTTCGCATACAAACCCTGGGTTCCAATGGCGCCTGATTTCCTCCCATCCACTCCTAGACTCTCCAGCATCCAAGCGGTTGATACGCCATCGCCGGGTAAATGGCGCCATCCGCATTTGAAGGAAATCGTTCAGAGGCAAAATGCGGCGAGATTCGGTGACAAAAACGTACGCAAGATTGTGTGGAACGGCATAGTCTTGATGGCAACGGGGATTTTGGGGAAGACTTTGAGGCAATAGTGAGACTTGCCCGCTCGTGCTCAGCCCCGTAACCCGCATCCAGTGCTCACCCTTCTAGTATCATTGCATTCGGTTCGCTTTTGGATATTGCAATCTATCCCAATGCCGTACTCTTCATATTCCGCTTATTCTTCCTTGCCAACATCGCGACCGCTTTTTACCCACTTTTCCGGCCCAAGGACGATATTTCAGATATCCCGCTCACACCTTCACAGCGGACACTTCTTGGACTCGAGCCAAACAACACTCGTCCAGCGACATCCGGATCTACCTACGTAACCCCTCCGCGATACCGATTATCCTCGAGCTCACGGAAAGCAAGTCCCTTGTCTCCTAGCAGTTCCCCGCTGTCGGGGAGAGGCAGCCCCATGGGAAGTCAAGGCTTCGACGGTTCTCTATATTCCCCATCCCCCAGCCCTTTGTTCCAGAGAACGGTTGCTGGTGGGAACAGAGACATGATGCGGCGGCACAGCTTTGGTTCCTCATCGTCTCTGGGTCGGTCTTCATTGCGGGATTCCACCACGTCTCTGTGGACCCCCTCCTCTCCAAGCCCTAATGGTGGCAAGAATGGCAATGTTCTTGCAAATAAATGGCTTTATGAGAGGACGCGAGCTATCTCTCCTGGTGGCAGTGTTTTTGGGCGATAATTTTGTATTCTACCAATGTCTTGGCTCGGGCGTGATATCTCTCTAGCGAAAGGAAGGCGTTCTAGGGATACTGGGGGATAAATTGTAAGCTGTGCCTGTAACCAGGGCTAGCAAGTGAAATTAATTCAGCAGATATAAAAAGTCCTCATTCAATATTTTCTCCTGAGTAATTTATCATGTTAATTAGACTTATTCCCTACGCTGGTTGGGGATACTCTGTTTGCTGCGGTTGCCCATAGATGTGGTTGTTGAATTGTTACGCAAGCTTGTCGGCTACTTGGCCTTCCTCAACCGGACACCAAACTCAGACAATGCGAGGCTCTGATGGCATAGAATCGCCCAATTTTCAGTCACTTTACATAGTCGCGTATCGAATGTTTATTGCTCTGGCGATTCGGCCGTTCCTGTCACCAGTTTGTGGGTATCCATAGTCTCCTGGTTTCGTGATCATGGGAGCCTCGGAGTCCAAACTCGTTTTCAGGCAGGGGATCTTTCGTCTTTCGGAGGAGAAGAACATACCTGCTGACGATCCATATTGGACTGGCGTAAGTACAGGCCTGCGCGCGGGTTGGAATTCATGTCGCTAGAAGTCGGCTAACATACACGCGCAGTTCTGGGAGCTTCCGGAATCCGTTGAAGATGTCTTCACATTGTTTGCCCCCGTCGATATACGAAGAACCCGCGACACGGCACTAGGGAATCTCGAGACTCTATTGCTTGCGGTTACCTCTCGCCTTACGGCCCTCAGACACCATCCATCGTTTCCCGATCCCCAACTTGCCCCGCCTCGCGAGGCACTGAACTGCATCCGCGTACTTACACGGCTCTTGCCATTCCTTTACGAAGCGGAACATTTGGAGATATGGGAAGAGAAATTTTTCTGGGGTCAGAGGAAGAGGAAAACACGCCAGGCACAGCTAGCGTCTCGGGTCTTGTTCGATGAGTCTCGAAATGAGGAAGATCGCGATGCGCAACCCCAGGAGGAAGATTATGAAGACGCAAAACCTCTTGCCGAAGAACTCCTTGATACGTTGGTGGATTTATTGTTTTTCGCTGGGTTTACAATACCGCAGCTACCGAGCACCAAGGGCAAGGTTCAATATTCAATTTGGCAGAGCGGAATAGGCTGCCATACTTCCATGGGGTCGAACAAGGAGCTCGAAAGCAATCGGATGGAGATATTACGACTCTTGCTAACATTGACAGGCCAATCTATGTATATGCCACCAAGTAAGTTACTTGAATGCTTTGAAGTTGTATATCTCAAGCTAACACCTGTAGACTTGCTGCCTGTTAAAGGGGTAAAGTCTCTGACATATCTCACGACCTGTCCGGACAAGAAGCTGGTTTTGTCAGTACTTTGCTCCTTGCTGAATACAGTAGGTTTCCCGTATCCGATGGCAAAGGCTCTGGGTCTTCCTAACACGGCCTAGACTCTCAAGTATAATCCGGCGCCTTGGAAAATGCCTTATGACCACGTTGTTTGGAAAGATTCCAGACAAATACTCGTGATATACTCCTTACAGCTACTCCTTACACTATTACTCTATCCTATTCCAGAGGGTGGAAATGGTGCGCCACCGAAAAACTACTATCGGCACTTTTTTGGAAGATTACATCAACCGCAAGATTTCCAATTTTTGGTCGATGGGATGACGCGGATTCTCAATCAACCAGTTCGCTTCCCCGCCCTCGCTCGTGAGTTTGGTGCTTTGACTAATGGAGCTACAGATGCAAGCCACATCATCATATCTTCCGGGAAGCCAGAAGTCCGTCAAGTGGGCTCCAGAGATGATGATGCTGTTCTGGGAAGCGCTCCAGTGCAATAAGAGATTCAGATCATTCATCGTTGATTCGAGCCGTGCCTATGACTTCATAATCATCTGCCTTTTCTATGCAAACGAATACAAGACTGACCCTACAAAACATGGTATTGTCAAAATGTGCGTGTTTTTACTACAGACCCTCAGTGTTGAACCCGGTTTTGGTTGCAATCTATTCAAAAAGTTCGACGCGCAAGATACGCTCCCTCCTAGCATAAGACTTCCTAATTTCCGTGGCACATATGGGGACTTTCTTATCATTGTACGTTAATGTTTGTCTTTGCTTTCAGCTTGATGATTCTAACTAGTATAGTCCATCCATACCCTAATGTCTACCAGCAAAGGCAAACTAGATGCGGTTTATCCTGCGTTATTGGCTATCATGAACAATATAGCAGCTTACACTGAACACCTCTCACCTGCAGCATGCTCCCGGGTGATTCAGTTGTTCGCATCTATGGCTTCCCCAAGTTTCCTTTTAGCCCAAGAGACGAATCATGTTTTATTGTCTTCCCTTCTTAAATTTATTAATACAGTGCTAGAGCACCAATACAGCAGTAAGTGAATCAAGACACTTCAACTGGGAATAAACTAACACTTTACAGAGAATCCATATCTTGTATATGCCGTTTTGAAATCACAAACGCCGGTTTGAAGGACTCCGGGCATTTACCCTGGAAAGCGGACAACAAGAAATAGAACAACAAAGGCATCGGAGGAAAGCCAGCTTGAGCAACAACGACCAGCTATCTGGCGCCACTTACGGCCAATCTGAAGATATTCGTACTCCGGTGCAATCACTGAGTCACGTTCCTGAGGAAGACAGCGCCTTTGCTATAGGGGACGATGACTCCGACGAAGAGACCCAGCGTCAACCAACCCCGTCTCAGTCATCCCCGTCTCTTGGGAACTCGGGCACCCCTTCACTAGCATCACCTACGGACGAAAGCGTTCCACATCAGCTTCGAGGTTTATCCGAGAAGGCCCGTGGCAAGATGCCGGCCGGCCAAGCTGCGTTCTCTCGGCAGAATAGCAACACTAGTTTGAATAGCTACGCTGCAGCATCCAGTCTTTCGACGACTGCCAGCGGCTTTGTTCCGACTGCCGCTTGGGTAAGCCCCGATATATCCACCTCTGTGGAACCAAGATTTACTAACAGGATTATCTAGATTGAATCATGGGTTCCGGAGCTGCCCCTTCACACCATTTTAACCGTTATTTCTGCGATATCACCCCACGTTCAAGCAGCAGCCCTCGAATCATCTCTTAATCCCGAGGCACGGACACTACTTTCCGAACTCCCATCCTTTAAAGAAGAACCACACATTCAAGCGGTACTTTCGGACCCATCTCCCATTCAGGTTCACCTGTTTGAATGGTCCCCGCTCTCACTTGGTTGGTACGAGTCGTTATTATGGGGATTTATTTTTTCCAGTGAAATGGTAGTGGGATCGGCATCCGGCTCGACGCCAGGGGCGGTTGGAGTCTGGAATGGGACCGCTCTTAAGCTGTTTAGGGTCCAAGAAGCGGCTGCCCAAGGGCCAACGCTCTTAGCCCCGAAAGGTGCGGTAGACGCCGTAGGGTCTAGTATCGTGCAGCGGATTGGGAGCTTGAACCTCAGGGGTCGGTCGAGCGTTTCTCAAGATGGCCAAGGCGAGTCGGAGAGTTTGAGGGTGCGAGAAGTTTAGGAATATGCGTCCTTTACATTCTCAATACAAATTCTTTCCAAATCTTGGTAGGCATCCTGGGGCAAGCTTTTATGAAATCACGATGTATATCATGGGCAGGTTTACTGTGTATTTTAAGCCAAAACATTTCAACTTTGCAATTGCGTTGCAACATAGTCAGTTCCCCCTAACTACACTACTTCAAGTTCGGCAATGCATCTCTGCTGGATCATCGTTGTATGAAGTAATAGCAAGTTCATTATCCTTGTTTTTCCCGGAAGCAACAATTCCCGGGGAATCATAGTCAGATCTCCGGATCCTCGTATACGGCAGCCAGCACGGGTCCGGATGCTGCTGTTTTACTGCCGACGATGGGCACTTGGCTTTCATCAAGATAACCCGTGCATTCCCAAGAGAACATGACATCCGCGCTGTGTGGATTCCCGCAACCTCGCTTTCGTTTGTTTCTTCGAGGAGAGAAGATCTTTGCACGTGATAGAGGTTGAGGCTGCCGCAATTCCAGCAAACGAACTTGTAAAAAGAACTGCACAGCACCCGCTCTGCCTCCAGCGGGGATACATCTTCCCAAGTCCACACCGTTCGTCCTAGCCAAAATCGCCTTTTTGTCCCCGGGCCGTCGTTGAGAGTTCAATCATGAGAGTGACGTCATTATTCGTCGCGTCTACCCTGGGCGCGTGGACGGCTGTTGTCGCAAGGTCGGTCGGTTCTTCGACGCTGCAGAACATTTTGAAGGACACCGATGGGAGCCCGGAGTATCATTATCCTACAGACTTTACTCGAGAGATTATCCCGGTACGTTGTTGTGAGAGGCGCGCTGTGTGCTAGGTTGCTTCCCGGAGTTGACGCATTGCTGATTTGGCTCTAGATCCCATGCCATTCACACAAGTGCGTATAATACATAGCTAGCAAGGAGCACGGTTGTATGGCTGACAACAAGTTCCAATTTTAGTGACTACTGGAGAGATCGACCAGTTTACTCTGGTACGGCCCATGAGACCACGATAAGCCTTTTGAATTCAAAACTGATTATCTTTTAGCTATAGCAGCTGGGTGCATCTCGATAGAAGCTGATGTCTGGCTGATAGATGGGACGCTCTATGTATGCTGAATCCAAACCCTTTTTTCCTTCCGTCCAGCCTCTGACTTGTGCAGGTCGGCCACCACAAAGCGTCCTTGACGAAGGAGCGAACTTTTAAGGCACTGTATATTGATCAGATCCTCCGAATTCTCGAACGATTGAACCCTCGAACTGAATTTGAACCGACATCTACAAAGCAGTAGGGCTAATGGTTCAATCAACTTCAAGAAGGTGCTGACTCTATTCTGGTCTAGTGGCGTATTCGACACGGACACAAGGCAGACGCTGTATCTATTTATCGATATCAAAACGGACGGGGTTGAAACCTGGCGCCAGGTCTCAAAGGAGTTACAACCCCTGCGCGACTTGGGTTACTTGACCACAGTAGAAGCCGGCAGCAGGAGCGCTGGCCCCGTTACCGTCATTGGAACCGGAAACACGCCGTTGAATTTAGTGGAAGAACTCACGACTCGTGACTATTTCTACGACGCCCCTTTGGCCGATCTACACAGGCTCGAAAACATCACGTCCTTAATTTCTCCTATGGCATCGACCAGTTTTAAAAGAGCGGTTGGTGCGGTAGATTCGGATGAGGAGGATCTACTGTCTAGTGACCAGCTAGAAACTCTCAGATCCCAGATCAATGTTGCGAAGAGTAGAGGGATTGGCGCCAGGTACTGGGAAACTCCCAGTTGGCCGATTCGGAAGCGCAACGAGATTTGGAGAGTTTTATTGAAAGAAGTGTGGCATTGTTAAACGTGGATGATTTGGACGCTGCTGGGAGATACTTCTAGATCCGATGCTTTAGATGTTTCAATAACTACTTTTAGACTCAAACGTCGTACAGAAAATATGATTATGATCAAGATCCCAGGTCTTCTGGCCGTCATCAGAGGTGGGACGAAAAGTCGCGCGTCTCAGAGCTAATTCACCTTTTTAACTCAGATAAACTTGCGGACTGAATGGGAAAAGGGCTTACGTCTCAGAGAGTGAACCGTCCGGGTTTATCGGTAATTCCGAAGGCTTCAGCACCTTGTCGCCAAACTGCAATGGCTGCGCAGCCACCAGGATGAACATCATTCGCGCCTTGCCCGGGCCCGGATTGTGCCACGCATGGATTGTACCCCGCTGCACCACCAGATCATGCTGCTTCATTTTAGTCCTGACGCCGTTGTCCAGTTCCAGCTCAACCTCCCCATCCAGCAAAATGCCAAAGTCCACCGTCAACGTACGATGCATGATACTAGGCCCCCGGAGGAAAGTCAACGATGCGAGCGATCAGCCCAGCGGGGTTGTCCAGTCCCACCGGCTTGCCGTTGAATTCGGACCACTGCTCGTTGGCGTTGATGGGGAAAGCCGAAAGGTTCATTGACCAGAGGGTTGTAAACGCAAGCATTGATTCGGCGGTTGCGGGAGATTGGGTCTCCGAAAGGGGGTCATACGGAACGAGTTGTTTGTCGGATTCGACGATTGCTTCGCCGGTGGGGGAGTGGCCGGTGACGATGCGCCGGAAGGAGGGGTAGTGGGATGCTTGTGGTTCGTCTTGAGCCATTATTAGAGAAGATATATAGTATCAGCAGGCTATATTGAGATTGGTTTATTAAAAAGCTAGAGGCGACGAAGAGTTTTGGATGCTCAAGACTCAAGAGGGCTCAAGAGGTTTCAATCTTTGTGGAATAGAGGGGAGTCGGAACTAGTTATATGCTTGAGAGTGCATCACACACTTTATGCGCTGTCTCGAGTGCGCTGGTTGGCCATTGCACGGAACAATGAATCCAGATGCTGGCTCATTGTGTAGCAAAGGTAGTTAACCAAGAATTGACAAGTCGACTGCGGGATGGCCCGGCATCCAACCGTGAATGTCTAAAGTGCAGCACCAAGTCCCACAGGCAGCAAAGCAGAAGACAGCACACCACAGTCAACTGTTCAAGCAAGATGTAGTCAATTCGTGAAGTTGACGATGGTAACCCGTATCAAAAATACGGGAAGTATTGATGACCTCATTGTATCTATCACGTGATAAGTTTGTTTGCACTGTTTGTCTTAGTTTTAAATCCGTTATGTCCGGGTGACACGTGACTCTGTCTTTACCCAAAACGGCATCGAAGCGACGCAGCGACGGCTTGCGACGATGGACTGCAACTCGAACAAAGGCATTCCACGCTGCTTGCAATGGCCTCGTCGCGTTTGGCGCAGGAGCTCGCGCAGTCACTGCCTCGGGGCGTGCAACTGTCGGTGCGGCACGTGGCTTGCGCGCCCACTCCCTGTCAGCCCATCTTCGCCGCGCCTCCAGGTGAGGATCCAGAGCTAACCAGTCGCGAAAACCACTTTCTTGCCGTGTCGATCAGACCAAGCGACACTTCTACCGACAATGGCAATAATGGAGAACTGCTGGTTTTCTCAATTGAGGTTCTGGTGTATACCACTGCGCGCCTGACCACGGTCTTTGTATCCAAGGCCGACTCGACCGGCTACCTCCACCTTTTGAACCAGCCTACGAAATCACTGACCAGAACCGTGTTTACTGTATTCATCTCTAACATCTTGCGCGAATGTCAGCGGCCGGGTATACGCCTTGTGCTATCTCTCTTCGCCAGGGCTCAAAACCAGTACCTCTTCCCCGGCAGCATAGAAAACGCGCATAAACACGTCTTGGATGATCGCGGGTTAATCAAGTGGTGGGGCCGCGTCTTCGATGCTATCCTACGGGGTTTCGGGCCGGAGAACCAATCTACAAACATCGCCGAAAAGCAAGGATCGAGCGGAACAGAAGTCGAAAATACCACGGCCACCGCGTACCTCATCGTTCCTGGATGCGACAAGTACGAGACCAGAGCCTTCTTTCCACCGAGTGCAAAGCTAGATCCCCAAGGCAAACCCCGCTGGCTGAATAGCTATCCCCTCCATCAGATCTGCCCGACTCCCGATGCCCCTCCACGATGCCTCGTCCCTCGTTTCCCCGACGACCCCAAGGGGAGATTCCTCGACGAGCTTGACGACGAAATCTTTGGTCAGAATGCGAAACCCCCCAAAGGAAAGGTCCTTAAATGGGTGAATGAAATGATGGATGAAACTGAAAAGTCTTCCCACAGCCGTCCCACTACTGGTCAGTGGCTGAGCGTAAAATCTCTTGTGGAGTTTTGGGAAATGATGACGTTCAGACAAGAATGTTCTGCCGGGAGGCTTGTCGGATTTTTATGGATGATCATTAATCCACCGGGATTGCTGAAATCGGATGGATTAAAAACAGCTGCGTCCCTAAAGTCGAGTGACCAGCCGAAATTCCCATTTCGTTCGAAACCAGATGTTTCGGCCGCCAAAGCTTATGAATCGATCGAGCCGAGGGCAGAAACTGCCTTGTTCAACCAGTCGGAACAAGTCCCAAAAGACATCCCTGTATCAAATGGCACCAAAACCCCGTCCTGCGCAGAAAACGGGGCATCCGAAGGACAAGCAAATCAATCCACCCCGACCACAGAAAGTAATCAAACCAAATCCCCTGCAAAAATTAGCAACACTATACTTCTTAGCAAGAAGAAGTATAACACCTTGTGCAATTTTCTTCTCACGCTCGACTTTGCCGACAAATCACTCGCTCTGGCCAGTACCAAATCTTGGCTCGAGAAACTCTCTACCTTGGCGGATGGTACAGACCACGGTGAGGTGGTTGATGGCGCCAATGATCCGTCTGAAGTGTCAGAATCACCACTCGGTAGTCAAGCAGAGCCCTCAAATCCGTTAAATACCGGACTGATTTTTAAGAAACGCAAGAGGCATACGAACGACGACCACCCAGACGTAACCAATTCACAGCAAGAATCAAGCACCAAAGTAAATGTCTTGAATGCTACGCTGATAAGGAAGAAGAAGAAAACTGGGTAATCGGTCGGTTTGCAGTATCTTTTGTTTTTGTCGTGCGCGGTGCCATGGAGTTCTCGGACCTTGATTCTTACGACGCATACAAAGAATACTAGCGCGGTGGCATAGGGCGAATATTTGTGTCGGCGATTCTTAATCGGATTTCGGAGCTTTTGGTAGCATCTTTAAATGGCCACCTTAAGAGGAAAGGCGGTAGCTCTGAGCACAAAACTTATACCAATGATAACTGATTCAAATATGTCCATTCTAAAACAAAATCGGCATCATTCAATTGCAAACCTAAAACAATCTACTCGACTGCGCTCCCAGCCGCCCAATTCATATTCTTTTGCTTTCTTTTCAGACTGTCCAACCAATCTTAAAAGCACGATTCTACCCCAAGCCGTCCGACTCGTGCGGTCAAAAAAGATTACCTTTTTTTTATGCCCATGACCTACCTATTGTTCATGTTGATCTTGGTTGTATCCAGCTATTGGAGGATGTCAATGCAATTGCTCATGACGGCCCAATCTACCAGGCAAGCTTCGCTAATATGCCGTTTGGCGAACCACGGACGAAATACTTTCTCGTTTCATCGAGAAGCAGGATTCCAATGCCGAAGGCGACTGGGATAAAGAAATATTCCACCGGGACTGACGTGGTATCCACCGTATCTTGAATTCCGGGAATGTAGCAGACTAGGAGCAGTTAGAAAAGAAGGCAATAGTGTGGTAGCTGCCGAAACACGAATTACTCACATATAAAAACGATGAAAAGAGACCACACCATTCCTGCGAAGAGTAGCGGATTCTGAGTCTGCTTGTTAAACAATGGTGGTTGCTGGAATATACTAAGGCGCCTTGTCCTTGTTGCCAATAAGTTGAAGAATTGGATGACCACCAAGTTTACAAAGTAGATCGACGAAGCGTGATTTGTGACCTCGGCCACGTAGTCTGGGTCGTACTGCGGACCCCAATTGCCAAACTTCAATACCAACGCACTGAAGGGGATCCCGCGTCGCTGCGTACAGTAAGAATAAGTAACAATGTTATCATACAGACATAGGTTAAGTGAGAGCATACCGACATGTACCAGAACGCCATCACAAATGAGAGTAGGCATTCATAAACACCAATGAATGTGTAGGCATGAAGGATGAATCTAACGTTAACTAATCGGTCTTTTTTCGCGTTGCGTGGAGGCCCGAAGCAGAACATCCATCTCAGGTTTCTCATATGCGAGTGCAATAGCTCCACCAGCATCAGTGAATAAACTACAAAACTTGTTAGCAAATGTCAGGCAAACACGATAGAAGTGTCTAACCATATTATAATCTATAATCCATTAGTGTTAGCCCTAGTGTCAAAAGAGGACTTTAGGGAATGCTCACCATCAAAAATGAGGATAGTACTTGGGGAACCCCGAGAACGACGTTTGCCATAACAGGCCCTAGAAAAGGCTAACATTAGTACCCAAACTTAAACTAGAGCAAAGGCAAAAGGCATACATAGCTCGCTGAAACTACCGGCCGGGAGGAGATAAATGATGGTTTTCTTCAAATTATCTGTAGAATCCAGTCAGTGGTTGAGCCAATACCGCCCATTTATGAAACTTACCAAAGGTCAATCGGCCATACTTTACGGCCTCAACGATAGCAGAAAACGAGTCCAGAAGGACCATGTCCGAAGCTTCGATTGCAATATCGGATCCGCTCCCCAAGGCAACTCCAACGTCAGCAGCCTTCAGTGCTGGCGCATCATTCACTCCATCGCCGGTCATCGCGACAGTATGATCGCGCGATTGAAATTCTTTCACAATTCGTAATTTCTGTTCTGGTGTGGTACGCGCGAAGACGATTTCCTCGTACATACAAAGTTGATCCCATTGTGATTCATTAAGAGTGATCAACTCGGGCCCGCTTATTGCGATGGAACGGAGACCCTCGGTTTCCACCGCCGTTTGCGGTTTTTCAAAACTGCGATTAAGATTATCAATGGAATGGACCAAGGCTGGTGCGCTTCTTATAATACCACAGTCCCTTGCGATGGCTTGAGCTGTAAGCTTGAAGTCTCCGGTGACCTTGCATGCGTAGTTAGCGTATAACCCTTATGAAAAGGGGCCAAAGGGTTTCAGTACCATCAGGACACGAATTCCGGCAGTACGAAGAGTATCGACCACGTTGGGGATTTCATCCCTCTTTTAGTAATGTCAACGTCAGGGCTCTGTCGAGGTTATAGACTGGGAATAGGAAAACTCACAATTGGGTCAATAAGACCCCAAAGACCGATAAACGTAAGGTCTCCCCTCGCCAAATCAAGGACAGCCTTTTCGGCCTTTGCTGATTTGAGCACTGAGGACATATCATTGTGGATTGTCTTTTGTGCTATTAGGATAACACGTTTACCCTCACTGGACCACCGATTCTTGACACTTTCAATGGTGGCTTGATCAGCGTTTGACAAGTGCGTAATTGTCCCGTCATTTCGTAACAACGTGTCGCATCGAGATAGTAGCACCTCAGGGGCACCTTTAATCCATAGCTCTCTAGATAGTGATTAGTTTATAACGATCAGCTTTTTGGAGAAGATACAACCATACGCATCAGAAGGCAAGTGGTGCTTTTCTCCCTGCTCGAATGGAGACATTATCCGAATCATAAACTTGTTTTTGCTGTTGAACGCTACTTCAAAAACCTTCTTCCAGTTCATCCTGAGATCCTGAACGGATGACAGCATCTCAGAAAATCTTAAAATGGCTTGGTCAGTGGGATCACCGTATATTTTCATCATCCCAGTTGGGAGTTTAGTGGTAGAAGCGTCGAATTCCGCGGCATTGCACAGGGCCCCTGAAACACGGAGTCTCTCCAAGCCGCGATTTGAAATATCTTCGCCAAGTTTCCCAGTGAATAGCCCTTCTTTAGCATCGTCCGCTTTGTACTCCTTCCCTCCGGCATAGGTATCCGTCACGTATATCTCGTTCTATCATTCCTAGTATCAATGATGTTTCCGACGAACAACTGGAGAAGGTCGTAGCTTTGACTTACCTTTGTCAAAGTTCCTGTTTTGTCAGAACAAATGACGGAAACCGCTCCAAGCGTTTCTACTGTTGCTAGGGACTTGCAAAGAATCTTATTTTTCTTCATGATGTTGGCTCCAATGGTAAGACTCATTGCAACTGCAACTGGCAAGCCCTCAGGGACAAATGCGATGCCGACACTAACACAGTTCACAATGAGCAGCGAGACGTTAATCCAGTCGGGATGGTCTCTCCGTAACCACGTGGCCCTGTCTCCCGTCAGAATTAGACCCAAGCCAGAATGTGATTAGAAAACATACCAGAGTACAATGACTAAAACAACCACGGTTGCAATGAAGGAGGCGATGATAAGAACAAAGCGTAATATTTCCTTTTGAATGGGTGTAAATTCATGTCGGGGTTTGTTTGTTAGACCTGCAATCCGCCCAAATATCGTCGAGTCACCTGTTGAGACACAGATTCCGGTAGCCGTGCCTGCGACACAGTGGGTACCCTGAATATCTTTTTTATTTGGTTTCCAAATAGTTTCTATCGGTGGATTCAATTGTCCCATTGACGGGTTCAGATTCACCTAAATAAGGTGTAAGCACAATGACCCTGAACTCAATTCAAATGTTCTTACCTGTCAAAATAGACCGATCGAATTTCAAGTCAGGGGAAGCCTCGACTAGGCGAACATCGGCCGGTAGCTTATTGCCTTGTTTTATTTTAATCACATCACCCGGAACGAGGTCAAGAGCTGACTTCAGCGAAGTAGCTCCATCCCGAATAACCATGCAGTCATCCGGAAGCATAGTTTTGATAGAAGCCATAACCCTGGAGGAAGACCAGTCCTGCCAAGCATTGAACCCAGCCTGGATGACCCAAACCGCACCAAGGACAATTGCAAGGGCAAGATTTGCTAGAGCGGGAGGGTTACCCAGTGGCTTCCACGCTATGAACACTAGTATGCATCCGATAAAGAGTAGAACACCAAACCCCCCAAAGAAATAACCCATTATCTTTCGAAACCATTCTGTGCGCGGGGGCGTCGGCGCATTTTTTCCATATTTTGAAATGCGACGTTGGGCTTGCTCAACAGATAACCCCTGAACGATAGAAGTAGAGAGCCTGCGAACCAGTTCATCGATCGATATCAGATGCCAATCAAGTTCGGATATCCCTTCAATGGATAGGTTAGAAGTTTAAAGTAAAATTGGCAAGTTATAAACGTACCGGCAAGACGGTCGCCGTCATCCTTCCCAATAATGCCCCCCGGAGTCATGCTTGAAAGATTCATCAACATTATAAGAGCTACGCATTGTTCAAGGTCAGAAGTGTGTAAAAAGAATTCGGCAATGGCAAAGAAGGGCTCACAGCGTTCGGTAAGTAATTGGAAGGGCAGCTTCAGGGGCAACTACTCGGCTATGAGCAGATCGTATTGATATGGCTGAAGCGGCGGAACCTCGACGATGCAAGGAGCGGCGCGAAGCATCAGATCGCACTGCATCTTCCTCGTCCGCATAGCGGATGCGCGATCTAGCTTCTTTTTCGACAGCCATGCCGTAAAAGGGTGCAGGTCCTCTTTCGGAAACTTATGTCGAACGAATGGTGGTACAATTTGTAAAGGAAAATCTGGGAGGAAAGGCAATGTCTCGCTCGTTGCAGGGGCTTATATAGAAAAAAATATAAGTGGCACTGCCCCGGCCGGCGCTTCCAGGAATTACAGCATGTTTACAGCATACAGGCAATATGCAGTTCTAAAAAAGGGGCAAACTCTTCATTGAAGGCGATGTAAGGCGGTTCCAATCAACGGCCATTGCAGACGAGAGGTGTGAGGAAAGCAGGCCATGCATACGGAAATAAATCCCTCATATAAAAATCGAGATTTAGTCCATCGCGTACGGATGCCAGGTTGGGACTGGGAGCTGAAAGAGGGGTAGAGGAGGGAAAAAAAGGCAGAGAATTACGAGCGCCTTGGTATAGCGAGAGTGTCATGACTTGCGCGTGAATTTGGAGAACCTGGATGGATGGTGGTCTGGATTTGTCTCCTGACGGATTCCTGGTACGGTTATGTGCATTCGCATGCCACGGCTACCCAAACTCAAGAAAACACAACATGAACGGCCGGGAAAGGGACTGCTGGCGCACACTATTATGTTGTTGTGAGCCATGAGCCCTGAAGGATGAGGAGAGACGTAACTTAGACGTCAGCACAAGAGCACGAGGCAAAAGGGACTCCGGGTGTCAGTGAAACACATCTGCTCTCTGACGGAGTGTGACGCTGCAAGGATCGCGGCAGATGGGCAAAGCTTCCCATTGGAGCCAGCTGGGGATTCTGCGGAAGTTTGGCACATTTTTTTGCGTCCCGCACGGGCAGTTTAAAAGATGCTTTGATTCCTGAGTATTCGCTAGCACGCTGGTGGTCAAGAAGCGCCGTGGCCGCTAGCGGAGCGTGTTCCTAGCCATCCCACATGATCTATGGGGTATATTCGCGGTATGCACGACGGCCAATTCGTGATTGTGAGACCAGATGTCTGGCACAGCAGCAGCCACCGTGTTCACCAGCATCGAGATGACTGCAGAATGGGATGTCGAGAGTGGTGTGCGGTGCGTCGCGCGCCGTGGAAGAAGGAGAAGACGAAGCGAGAGGTCGGTTCGGCAGACGTGCAAATAAGCTTCGGATAGCAAAGGAAAAAGAAGTGGGGAACGCTGAGGCGGAGAGCTTGGTCCAATGGCAGGCCACGAAACAGCTAGCTCGAGCCACACTTCCTGCCCGTTGCATAATAACCTTAAAATCTGACTTTTAGTCGACTGAGGCTGTGTATGCGTCCAGCGGGGAAGGGAGGGGGCGGCAGTCTCATTCTGTGGTGAGTGATTTTCCCAGAAGTTACGGCGGATAGATGATGTTCCTGCTGGTGGTGATACTTTAGACGAGTACGGGTGGGCACGGTATCACCAACAATGCAAGAATTAGTCACAGACGGAAGGGCTTTGTACCTCGGATGGTAAAACTGGTTGGATCAAATACTGAGCACACCTAGCAATTCATATTGCTGGCACCACTGCCCCTGGGGGCAGCTTCCAAAGAGATTTTTGTTAAGATTAACTAGGAGCCCCTTTTTTCGCACCCGTTATGATTCTCAACCACTGCAACTTTTGATGACGTAGAAACACTGCGCTAGTACCAGAGCGGTTTAGCGTGGACGTTGAGCAGTCATTTTACGCATGCTTCACCACGTGACCATGTCTAATCTGGCACAGCATCCGAGAGGTACCGGCGTTCACTCGCACTGTGATGCTCATCAGTCCTGTCACCTCATCCAGAGAATTCACAGCAAACTCAATTCGGGCCACATGCCAAATCCCAACCCATGCTGGCGGAGAGTGCTCCTTTTGAGGCGAGCAAGACTGCCCAGCCTTGCGGTCGTCAGCCACAAACATGGGCCCTTGTTGCGGGCTGTGTCGCCATCGTTTGGTACCTGGTAGTCACCCTTGTGTGCTGGATTGGATACTTTCAGCTGTGAGCTTCTACAGACTTCAATTTTGTCCTCATGACTCTATCAAGACTTGCTCGTCGTCCTGCCGCAACTAACAGACTGCTTGAAATGAAATTTTAGACAACGGTACTACTCAAAAGCCCCACAAAAAGCTCTTTCAACGACCGTGCTCTCTCCTTCGAAGCTTCCTCATGTCACGATTATCCGTCCCGTCAAGGGCCTTGAGCCTTTCCTGTATGACTGTCTAGCTGCCAGCCTCCGTCAAGACTATCCTTGCGATAAGCTCACCGTTTACTTCTGCGTGTCCTCGACTCAGGACCCGGCCTACCCCGTCTTGAAAAAGCTCCTCCAAGACTTTCCCCATGCCGATGCTCGAGTGTTTATCGAGTCTGCCTGCAATGACAACGAACTCGGCCCAAATCCCAAAATCAAAAATATGAGCCAGGCTTATCGGGAAGCAAAAGGCGACATTGTTTGGATCGTGGATTGCAATGTGTGGCTGAGCAAGGGAGTTTGCGGTAGAATGGTAGATAGACTCTGTGGGTTCGATCAGAAAGATCCCAAGAGCAAGGGGTTCAAGTTCGTGCACAATCTGCCGATAGTTGTTGATGTTCCGGATTATGCGAAGCGCGAGGATGCTAGTCTCTCAGCTACCAACTATGGAACACTTGACAATGACTCGAAAGGGCAACACAGCGATTGCTCTAACATTTCATCCGTGCTTTCCCACGGCGGAGGTCGGCTAGAGGAGCTTTTTCTCTCCTCCGCGCACGCAAAAATGTACTCCGCCCATCAACACCGTCCTCATTGCTCCCTGTATCATTGGCAAGTCCCAGTATGTTTCGGCGCTCCCACCTAAATTACCTGACTACTGTCCCTCCCAAAGACCCCCGACGACAGAGGAGAAGACCCGGGATCGATTATTTCTCGGATAATATCTGCGAGGATCACCTTATCGGTGACCGTTTATGGAAAGGGAAGGTCTTTGAAGAGGCCGAACATAACGAACAATGGGGAAAACATAGCCTTTTATTTGGGGACCTCGCCATCCAACCCATGAGTGGAATGAGCGTTGGTTCCTATATTGACCGTCGCGTGCGGTGGCTCCGGGTCCGGAAATATACGGTTTTACTCGCAACGCTTGTCGAGCCGGGCACGGAGTCATTTCTCTGCTCCGCATATCTTGCCTTTGGTTTGACTACTGCTGCTCCTGTTTTTTTCCCGGAATATTGCTCTTATTTGGCTACCTGGTCGTCTTTTGTCTACATATGGACCCTGAGCATTCTGTTGTGGATGCTGATCGATTGGACTGTGTATCTCAAGCTTCACTCCGGCGCTACCGTTGAAGTGGACGAGTATACCCCGCCCTTTGCACGCCCAATACCAAAGCCGTCGCTAACCCGTAGGCCATTCGCAGCGTGGCTTTGTGCTTGGATTGGTAGAGAAGCTTTGGCTCTGCCAATCTGGATCTGGAGTTTCTACGGCGGTGCCACCGTGGTATGGAGAGACAAGGCCTTTAAGGTCAGCATGGATATGGTAGCCCACGAAATCGGGCAGCTTTCTCCTGATGGGAAGATTCGAGCAAGTTCACAAGCAACCAGCAGACAAGGCCGTGAAGGATACAGTGATAGGGGCTCTAATGTCCGACGAAGGACACCGAATGGAAGTTTCATAAACACTGGCCTGGTCACAGCTCATGCTATGGAAAGTCAAAAAGGAAAGCTCTAAGGTTATCACGGTTCTCTTATTCCCTACCCTCTTCGTTGTACATACATACACCCATTGCCTGACAGCCCCGTTTTTCAGTTTTTTTTAGGTCTTTCCTTCAGACATTTTGATTCTGGGAGTTTAGCTTTCCAGAGATACCCCCTTGCCTTTGTACAGAATCATGTTATTGATGACTACGATTTAGTAATGTTCTAATGACACAACCCTTTTCAAAAGCGTTTTCCAATCAACATCTATTGATTTTGATAGTAAGGACCGCACATAATGACAAGAAGATATCCCGTGTACCGAGTAAGCAGGGTCTTTTGCAGCCATATCATGGGGGGCCATTTATATAGCGTTTGCCTCTACAAACGGCAATGACAAGGCAAATAAGTTTATTGGAGAAAACAGCATCGAAGTATATGATTTGAATCTAGAAAATACACATGCGCCTAAAATGCTCTCATAATCATCTAAATCAAATGCTTTTTCCAAGGAGTAAAACTTCCAAGGGCCATCAAATCAGTCAATTCAGCTAGTTCCATTCTCAATAACGCCTTCCATTTCGTCTGCATCCGCATTTCCCGATCCTGGGGTATCAGCACCTTGGTCCGAGTTTGTACCTTTTTCATATGTCAAGAGGTACTCCACCACTTGCATGGCCTTTGACATCGGCCGATCGGGCTGTGACGAAGCAGCTGCCGGTGTAGCTTCTTCACCATCACCTTCCCCTTCCTTCTCATCTTCAGTCGCAGCACTCCATTCCGATCTCTCTGCAAGAAACGCCGCGTCGTGCCCAGCGCCATTTTTGCCATCGATATCCGCGCCGGCTTCGACTAGCGCTTTGACGCATTCAAGATGCGTGTTCAGAGCGGCCCAGTGGAGCGGTGTGTTCCCGGAATGATTTGGGTGGTTGATAAGTGGGGAGTGCTGTGAAGTCTTTTGGATTGAACTGAGAAGATATCTTAAAATCTCTGCGGGGTGTTGCCGATTTTAGTCCAGGCTCATGCCCGAATTTGGTATTTCAGCCAGCTGGGCTGTAGCTTTGTGGGTTAGACTCACCGGCATTTCCGTTGGCAGCGGGCCAGTGTAAGAGGCAAGCTCTGGTTCCGCCCTCGCTTTCGTCCTCGCTATCAATAGCTGACTCGATGATAGATGCGGCAGAACAGTTGTGCTGGCGGCTGAGGTTTTCGATATCGGCCTGTAATGACGGCAAATCTCCCACTCGTGCCGAATAGATGAGATCGTCAATGGCCTCAAAGGATAGTGCAACCGCAGCCATCTCGGCTCTAGATTCGGCGTTGGTTCAGAGAATAAAGTCTCCCGGTTTGAACAGTAAAAACGCACAAAAGGCGAGAGATGAAATCCAATTAAATACGGTTTTTCACAGTAAAATAACCAGTTTTTCAGCCAGCGTTTTTTTGAGACCTTATGCAGTGTCAGCAAAGACTCCTGAAGCCACTACTCTGTCAAAAAGAACTAAATAAGGAGCAGCTACAGCACAGTTAATGGGTAGAATGCAGCGGGTATTCGTGTTGAGTTAGAGGCAGAGGAACCTTCGCCGTTGAGCATTAGCAGTCAAGCAGTAATCCCATTGCATACAAAAAAGGTTCATGCCGTGCTGTAAAATGATTCATATCGACTTTTGTAAAAAATAATGGAAGCTGCAAGCAATAAGAGGCTGTCACGGGTATCAAGCAAATTTCTGGCAAACGCAAAGACATTAAAGACCAGGTAACACAGAACGGTCTAGGGATACTGAGCCACTAAAGCAAGGGAAAAGAGCACTCACTTTTAAATCCTGCAATAGATCAGATCAATGCTTTGCTCGATATATATTTTCCAAGATTTCTTTGCGCTTCGCGGTCAAAATTTTGCGGCCCAAAACTGATATCACGTGATATTTACGGGCGCCCGGCTGCCTACACCTCATCCTGATAGTGCGTCACATAGTTATCAATACGAATGATGGATGAGATTATTTATTGAGGTGGTTTCAGAGTCTCTAAACCTATGTATTGATGACAGCCGGGTGTGGAACAGGGACCCAAGCATTGTCAGCAGTACAGAATCTGTACATACACACTCCATAACGTACAATCCCAAACGCCGGAACACCAGGTATATCCAGCACAAAATTTGCAGTCCTGTTGCTCAAAAAGCCCCAGCGCAAAGCGTACATTGTGTTGGTGTACCGCCCGTACACATTACATAAAAATATCAAGCCACGTTCAATCCCTGAGCCACGCTCGCCTTTTTTCCTCCTTTTTCTCTCTCCGCTTTTCTTTGAACGCCTTTAGCTCCCTTTTTGTTAATTTCTTCCCAGCCCGCTCCGCCTTGAGACTTTTCCCTTCATGGCTGTTAGCCGCAGCGTCAACATCGAAGTATGCATTAAGCTGGCGGCGGCTTTTGTTCTCGTCATTGAAATTCTCTGGCGTTAAACCGATAGGTTGCCATTTTCCCGTAAAGCGATTGAATGCGCCTGTAGCGGTATAGAGGACGTTTGGGTTTGCAGAGGAGGCTGGGTCCGAGGCGTCGTTTGCTTGCGGCTGCGCGTACCAGGCGTTCGGATCGTAGTCGCCATGAATAGCCGGATCATAACCTCCTGCAGCACGAGAACGCGACCGCTGTTGCTGACCCTCTTTGGTACCATTCTCTTCACCCTCAACTGCAGGGGGCGCTGGCCCTGAATCCGGAACCCGAGGGTTTTCCCTATGTGAAACAGCAGTAAAGCGATTATAAAAATAAAATGCTTGGAA